GCACCGATACTAGTATCGGTGCAGATGCAGAGTATTTGGGCAAGTACTCGTACTCTCCCAAATGCTCCGATACCTAGCCTGATACTTGGGATTCCGGTATAAGGAAGCCGGGCAGCGAGTCACGAGGCATGAAGCTGGCTCCCCGGCCAATCAGGAAGCCGAACAGCGTGTAATGACTCTCTGCCCGGCTTCCTGGTTGGTCGGTAAGCTGGCCAGCCAGGAAGCCGGGCGCTGTATAATGACGAGGGAGCATGGAGCCGGCTTAGACGGCTCCCTGTTTCCTGATTGGCCAGAAAGCCAGCTCCATACTTTCTCATCACCTAGTGATGAGAAGCATGGGGAAGGCTTCCTGGCTAATCAAGAAGCCAGGTGGCGAGTCATTACACGCCGCCTGGCTTCCTTAATGGGACTTCCGGTATTGGGTTTTGGTATCGGTAAGTAATGGAAAAAAAAAATAGTAAAAAAATACTCGTACTCAATACCGAAAAACGGTATCGGTACATCCCTAATAATAGGAGTCTATCAAGGGTTTAAAAGCCAGCTTGTTTAAGGGGTTTTCCACTTGTTCATCATGGTTCTTGGTGAGCTGGTTGTTTAGGCTGCTGACAAACTGACTAAACAAGCTTTAAGCTACAACTTGCAAAGGAATATGTGCAAGGGCAACCAACCAAAATGCGCTGACTGTCATCCCTTGATATCATTTTGTAACAAATATTTTACCTGGACGAATCCCTACAACTTGGTTCTCTCAGTTATTCACTTTACAAAAAATAACACTTCCAGGGAGCCTCTAGTAGTCCCACCAGGCACTCAGGTTCATTCAGAGCCTTCACCAAGCTTGGAGTCCAGCGCTCCACCACACTAACTCTGGAACATCTCGGCCTAGGCAAAATCGTCTGACTGGAGATCAAGGATATAATGAGTAAAGATGCCACATTTCTGAAAATGATATTGTTGCAGTATATTGTGGCACATTAGGGAAATATTCATGTCAGATTGAAAATGACTGAAAGGTCCACTTTAAAGGAATAAATATTTTTCTTTAAATGATGCTATGTGTAATTTTTGCCCTTTTGTTTATCAATACTCCTCCTCCCACAAATTGAATTTTTAGCTTGGTATCTGTGGGTAGGGTATGTGCTGGCTACTAAAATTAGAAAGAAATCCAAGCAGGGCTGATTGAAATAGAATCCTCTCTGTAGTTTCTCCTAACCCGACTCATAGGACTCGGAGATCCACAAGATTTCAGGCTTTATGTAATATGGTGTTGGGAATTTCTTTTTTTTAAATTCACATACACATTTTATGATGTAATACTGTAGTGCATTTGAACATTTTGTTTTTATTTACTCAAAAGATCACAGCCAAGAAATATTTCCTAACTCCATTGAAAAGACCATAATAGCTTTTATTCACATGCATTCAACCATTCTTTGTGTGCTTTTTGTGCTTTCTCTTTTTTTTGCTAAGGAGGCATTTCTTAAAGTGGACCTTTACCCATATCTTTAAAATAACAACAAACTCACCTTTAGAAATGTTTTCTAATGACAATCTACAAACACACACTTCTAGATAATTGCAGGCTTTGTATTCTTTGCATATGTTATTGCTCTTTTCTTTCCCAGTCTTCTGACAGTGGCCATGTTTATTAAGGGCAGATTACCAGCTCTCCTATTACTTGCTTTCTGGCACATTGGACTAGACATGTGACTAGGGCATGTGACCATGCATATCATCTCAGGGGAGGAAAATGCCTGAGATTACAAATGAGATTCCCCAGCAATGCTCTGCTGATGACAAGGCAATCCCAGTGTGCATTGCTTTGGCAAACTAAAGTCATTTTGCCCTTTCAAAGCAGGAAGTGAATGCTCTGCACATGTAAGTATTTCAAAATTACAGCATTTTACCCCTGACATGTCTATGTTATTATGAATCATCATACATAGAGGGATGCATTGGTAGAATTTCATTTTTGAGTGTAAAGGTCCGCTTTAATATATCCACCCACAGGTATAAAGGAACCTGCTCTGAGAGAAGCACGTATGCTACTATTGCTGACCTCTGCTGAGAAATCGCTAGTTGCCTGGCTGTCTTTCTGATCCGATGGCTTCAATACTTTAAAGGCACAGCCCTATAACTAGTATGTAAATGATGTTGGGAATTTATTTTTTTCCACTAATGATTATTTTCATAATCGATTAGTTGGCTAATTGTTTTTCCGATCGTATTAAAAAAATGTTAATACCATCCTTAATTTAAAATGATATACACAAACGTAGAGTTTACTTCAGAATAAAACTGCATGCATTGTATTTTGCAATCTCACTTCACTGGAACACACGGCATTGCGGTAACGTACATTTTAGTGTGGGCGATCACACTGTGGGCGGGAGGCGCATTTGCGGTGCTATTGAAATGAATGGCATTTCAACGCACCTCCCGCAGCAGAATTTGTCAGGCCGAAACCAAATTTGTTAATAAAATAATTGTATTGTAAGCTCGTGGCGCTTGAATAGCTTCAGCCAGGGAATGACAGCTGCCAGTGTCAAGATTCTGCAGACAGCAGCTGAATGTAAATACAGCAGGTAGTGGGCTGGTGCAATAGCCAGCCTGGTATTGGCCATTTCAAATTGCAATAGCAGGCTGGCTATTGCATCCGCCCACTGCTTGCTGTGTCCTCCCAGTGTGGAGGAGAGAGCTAGGGTATGCAACCAACTAATCGATGATGAAAATAGTTGACACGTCTTGCCTGAGGAAGGGGATCCTGCGTGACCCTGAAACGTTGCACTTGTGTGATATGCCACATTCACGTCACTAAAAGACGAGCTATATCTGCAGTTGGAGTGCCAGTGTCTCATTTCAACCTTGTAAATGTGATGTTGCCATCCATCGACTACCGTTGCACCCACCAGTCGATTTTGGATTTAAGTGGTCAGTAGTGTGATGGGTTCATGGACTTTTAGTTGACAACTATTCTCATAATCGATTGTCGATTAATCGCTTAGTTTGTTGCAGCCCTACTCTGTGTCCTGTTGGGATAGGAAGTAATGGGAAGTTTCTCCTGTGGGTACACAGACTGCAACAAAATACTTTTTTCCAGTAAAATGGAGATGGTTTGAACTCCTATAAGGTTGGTGGCATTAGTTTTCCTTTTTCAGGCTTTTTTCCCTTTAACTTCACCTGGTGTGCCTGCCAGCAACACACTTTTGTCTTTCCGCTCTCTTACTGTACTGCACTGCACATGGAAGTTCAGTGTTGTCAACCAATGCTGCTCTTCTGATTTTGGAATACAAACCCCTCCCCCCTTCTAATTTTCATAACATAGTAGGGAGGTGTTCTGTAGTTCACTGAAGGTTGCCTGAAAAGCAAGTAACATTGTTTGAGATTTTAGTTCAGTACACAGGATATTGGATTTCCATCAAGATCAATAGGAATTTTCCTGTACTTACAGAAAATGAACTTTTTCCTCTGCTTGTTAAAGGGCACCTCTGTTCCCCCGGCTATTATTAGACAGTAAAGAAGAAGATGACTTATAATTTCCATGCTCTCTCTGTCAGCGTGTTCCTTGCCAGCTCATGTTCATGTTGCACACCTGACCACCTCCAAGTACTGCCCCTCCCATTCTAATTCCCATTGTAGCGAATACTAACTTTAATAATTTTTTTTGTTGCCTTTAGTTCAGCTTCCTACCAAATTCTAAGCCTGGAGAGTTGTAGGCTTCTTTAAAGAGGAACTTCACTCATGTCTGTTCACTTTCAATTAATTAAGTCTCAGTATTCAACATTTTTCTTATCCACAATCCTGCATTGTGGGTTTTTTTCAGGTTTTTTTTTTTTACCCGTTGCTCTTCTGCTGCACATACACATGTTATTCACCACTATCTTTATAACTGGTAGCCGTCTCTTTTCTTCCTGGTTTTTGCAGCCACCCCCTAATGACGTGGCGGCAGGTCCCTCCTCCACCAGTGCTGTCTGTAAGCCGAAACCTCCTGCAATATGTGACTTGATGTCAGGAGGCTGCAGGAGGAGACTTCACGTCATTCTCGCCTAAGCGAGAATGGAGACGGGACAGGTTGACCATGAAGCCCAAATACCAAAAACAAACCTAGCCAAAATAACAATAAATAAATACAAAGCGGTCTAAATTTTTAGACTGTTGGGTGAGGAATAGAATGCTGTTTTTGTGTAAAGGTCCGCTTTGATATGTGTCTGCTGCACGTTCAAGCCAATGAAATACATGATGAACAGTCAGTACAGTGCTTTTATAATGTTATAGTAATAATCCGTCGTAAAATGAACTCATAGGGGATGATGTATAAAAGCTTAGCCCAGCATATAGTGTATAACACAGCACTGTTTGCATGGCATTACAGCCACTAAATGGAACTAGAGGGAGAATTTCCCATGCTTCTTGGCTTCATCCAGCCACCGTGTCCTGAATGCATACAGTGCCAAATGTATACCGGGGCCTGTCAGAAGAAGAGCCCATTCTAATTAGCAGCAGGGACGGGGGGGCAGGTGTCACACAAATGGGCTTCAACCAATCAGGAAAAAATTGCCACAGCTAAGAGGAAAGAGATTGCCACTCTTGCCACACCTTGTCAGAGGGAGGACCGCTTTAACAGGGCATGATGGATCTAGGTGGTACCTGGGAAGCTAGTGGTGGGGGATGCAGCTCTTGTATGAATTTATTGGGCCTTTTCAATATCGAAGAGATTAGACATGGGTAGGTAGCCCATTGTGTCCTTAAGTAATGGCTGCGACACCCATTGGATCGTGGCAGGTAAATAGCGCTGACCTCTTCCGTGTGTACATTTTGCCTTGAGCTACTGAGCTTGATAAACAACTGCTTCTTTTAGCAAAGCAGATAGGCATACACAGCTAAATAGGCACTAGAACAACACTTGCTGACTGGATGGGAAAGTGAAAATACTAAATAATACATTTGCACTATTTTGTATTTGCGTTTAAAGAAATTAATGTAATATGTTTTTATTACAGGGAGGCTGAAGTATACAAAGAGAAGGGGAATGCATTCTATTCCCAGAAGGACTACAATGAGGCCTATAACTACTACACAAAAGCGATAGGTGAGTTTGTTTCCTAAATAATACTAAACCACGCACTAGGGAGCAGTTAAAACCATTTTGATGTTTTTCTCTTCCGTTCATCGAAGGACACAAATCAGATCAAAGATCATGTACCGTCGGGTAATGACACCATCTGCAGGAGAAGGACGCTAGGCACAAAACAGACAGACAGCCCAGGGACGGTCTCTGCTGGTTGCCAAGCCCCCCACCTGCTGACAAGTCTCCAGTTTTCTGCCTAGCGTCAGGAGTAAGGAGCTTTAAATCTATTCTCTGGAATTCTTGTCTGGTTTTCTCCTTTTTTCGCTGGACCTTGTATCAAGTGTCGTCAGGGCGACAGGCTGGATGTTTGTGGATCCTTGTAGTGTCCCCTGTGCGGCCGGCAAGCGCATGCAGACTGCCATGGTGGGTCGGCTGCGACGACTCTGTTTCGATGGGGTGGCCTGTGGGGTGCATATGACTGGAGGTCTCGGCCTACCAGTCACAGTACTCCACACGGGCTCACTTATGGTTCAGTAGCACAAATTGGTCTCTGCTCTTATCCGTTCGGTCAGGGAGTTGCTCCGAGGACGCTCCGAGTTCTTCTGTGCTGCCACCAGTTCAGTTTGGGATGTATAAGAGTAGGCGTTCCATTCAGTTCTTCCCCTATTTCTCCTCCTTTGATTTCATTTACAAGGAGGCGTTCTTTGTTTGTTATCCTTTTGAGAAGTCTTTTTTGACTAAGTGGGCGCATCCTCCGGCAGTGGATCCTCCGGTCTCGTGCCTGAACAAAGCTACTGTCATTCCGGTGGAAGATTCTCCTTCCTTTCGGGATCCCACTGATAGGAAGGCAGACGCTGTTTTGCGGACTAAGTATTCCGTCTCGGGTGCTCTCATGTGTCCGGTTTTGGCCTCAGGCTTGGACTCTCAGACCTTGACATTTCAAAGATGTTGCACCAGGGCCTCGCTGAATAAAGCGTTTCTCTCGCCTATGTCGAGCTGGCGGAACACTTAGTGCAGGGCCTGAAGTATGTTTGCAACTCTGCTTTGGATGCTGTGCTGTTGCTGTCTAAACTGTCAGTGTCTGCTGTTACGCTTCGCCGGCTGCTTTGGCTTAAGTGCTGGTCGGCTGATCAAGCTTCCAAGAAGGCTCTGATGGAGCTTCCCTTTACCAGGGACAGCTTGTTTGGAGCTGCACTGAATGAGATCATTAAGGATCTGACTGGCCGTAAGACTACCTTTCTGCCTCAGGCTAGGAAGCCTAAGGAACAATGTCGGAAACCTGGTCCTTCCTTCTCCGCTCATAAGTGGCTTTTTTGGCCCCCTCAGTCCTCGGAGAAGGGCAACCTAATTCTTTCAAGCCCCCTTCCGCATGAAGGACTGCCTCCATCTCTGGGTTCCAGGGTGGGGGGTCGTCTTTGGGTTCTTTGCAGATCTTTGGTTGTCTCGCGTCTCCGACACCTGTGTGAGGGAGCTGGTTTCTTTGGGCTACACGATGGTTTCTTATCTCTGGGCAGTTTTTTTTCCTTCCAAAACGCGCCGTCTCTGCAACGACTCACAGATCTTTACCGCACGGGGATGGACCTCGTTCGGTGCCCTCCTCGGATAGGTTCAAAGGATTATTAAAATCTGTTTACCGTGCCCTAGAAAGGGGGGGTTCGGCTCATCCATGATCTCAAATACCTTTTGTGCGGGTATCCAGGTTTCGGATGGAATCTCAGATCCGTAGTGGCGTGTCTCCATCAGAGGGATCTGCTGGCTTCAATTGACATCAAGGATGCCTACCTTAATTTCCCCATTTGTCACTCCCATCAGCGTTATCTTTGGTTTGCGGTGGGGGAGAAGCACTTGCAGTTTGTGGCTCTGCCTTTCAGTCTGGCTTTGGCCCCCGACACTGTCGGGAAATCTCGATTGTGGGGTATCTGGATTACCTTCTCTTGAAGGCGGAGTCGCATTCCCCTCTGGTGGCGAATCTTGTGGTCACTGTGCGGTCCTTGGAGGAGTTGGGATGGATTATGAACTTCCAGAAGTCCTGTCGGGTGCCGTCCCAGCGTCTGGATTATCTGGGTCTGATTCTGGATGCCAGGTGGATGAAGAGTGAACTGGCTTGAAGGGGCACTTCAACAAAGCTCTCAGGACTAGGTTGAGGTCCCTCTTGGGGAACAGAGTTCTCTTAGAAGGCCTAATCTTGGCTGCTCCCTTCATAAATTGAAGAACTAGATGCGTGACCCACCTAGTTCCCGTTAAAGATGACAGGGTTGAAAGATGCACTCTGTGTTGAATCTCAAACCCCAGTGCAGCCTCTGCTGTAGAAAATCCAGAAGTTTACTAATTGGTGCATTTAACGGATTAAACAGCTTCTCTGGAAAAAATTTGGAATTTGGACCAAACCCAAGAATCGCGTTTGCCAAAGTTTTCCTCGCTTTTAATCATGTACAAATTACCGGCTCTGAAGTTTCCAAATTCTCTAGTCGGAGACGTTCACCAACCAGGCCATGAGCCGCAAGCGGCTCAGATTCGGATGTGTGAACCTCATCTGTTCCAAGAGATCCTCCTCCAAGGGAACTGGATCCGCTACCCTCATCTGCCATACCCAGGGATTCATGGCCTCCCTGGCCAGTAATGTAGGATGGCTATAACCTTCACTTTCTCTTGACGCAGCTTAACAGGATCATCAGAATCATGCAAAATGGTGGAAACACATACACCAAGCTGTAATTCCACCTCTGCATCAACACATCCCGAGCTAGAGCCGCTGGATCGTAATAACGGGAAAAGAATGTCCGGAAATCCCCACAGACGTATTATGGGTTCCAGGTAAAGCATTTTTAATCCCTACACGTTGTGATCAGCAAAATCCCGACTGAGCCTGTCCGCCTCGATTGTCAACCCCTGGAAGGTGGCAAACCATCAAATCTTTGAGGTTCGTCTCTGCCCCCCTGAAAATCTCTGCTGCTATCTGAAGAAGCGGAAGACTCTTCGTGCCCTCTTGTTTGGCTACATAGGCTACCGTCGTGCTGTTGTCCGAATTCTTTTGACCAATGAAGCATAGGGTCAAAGACCTTCAGTGCTTCCCGGATTTACGACAATTCTAAGAGATTTGAGCTTGACGGTACCTGTCCTCTCCAACGTGCCTGAACCTGCTGCCCCATACACACAGCTCCCAATCTTCCATGCTGGCATCAGTGGTTAGACAAATCCAGTTCCTCGACTCTAGAGATCTACCCAGAACTAAGTTCGACTCTTTTTTTTTTGTCCACCACGTCAAAGACTGGCAAACAAAACTCGGGAGATGAATCATCTGTGTAAGGCATGATTGTCTCCACCGCTGGAGAGAATTGAATTGAAATGTTCTCCTGTGCCACCTGGCCCACGGGACTACCGGGGTCGAGGAAGAGAGAAAACCAAGGAAACATGTGCATAGTCTCGCTGAGGTCTGCATCATCCACATCATCATTGAAGCACTCTCTTGTATTATCTTCACCTTCCTGGGAGGCAAGAAGACTCTGGATAGCCGTGTGTTGAATAGGATGCCTAGATACTCTAGTTGTCTGGACGGTTCCAGAGAACTCTGATCCCTGTTCACCAGCCCACCAAATGATCTTGGGGAGTTCAGTATCAAATCTTGATGGTGCACTGCTTGGGATCTCCAATTGGCCAACAGAAGAAGATCGTCCAAATAGTGATATACTTTAATGTCCCAAGTACGGAGCTATCTGAGCAGATAGAAGCTTTTTAAAAGTCCTTGGAGCCGTACACAGGCCGAACGGCAGGCAATGAAAGATAATGAGGCAGATTTACTGCCGAACAGGCCGCCGTCCAGCCGGGAGAGGCTGAACTCGACCAGTGAAGAAATAAGGAAAACCAACATACTCTGCCACATCTAAATAGTCAGACTGAGGACAGAAAAAGAACACGAGGTAGGTAGGCCTCTCCTTTTATTTCGCTTTTAGGGTGGTCATAAGAGGGGGTCGTGAGGGCGGAGCTGACCCGCAGTAGGCTGACATGAGGAGGGCCAGGAAATATATGCCCCACATCCAATCAATGGATTACTATGAAAGAAATTAACCCTCTGACCACAACGCTTAAAGCACTGCGGGATCCATAAACAGCCATTCGATAACCTAGTTAAGGACACTTAGCGTCCTAAAAATAGTAGCACCAGATTGAGAGCCAGATATGCCCCTATACAGAACATTCTGGAGAGATTTAAAAGGGGTAAGTAGGGCACCTTCTGTTGCTGTGCAGGGCTGCCAATTACTACAATTGAAAATTAGGAAAAGCTCTTACGTAAATATTTTTTTCTGAACTTTTTTTAAGTGGGCCTTGTGTACCCCTGTGATGTGCATCCATGCAGGACCCACAAAGCCCCTGCCACCCACTCCAGGACTTGAGATAGAGTTGTAGTCCATGACTTGATCCCCACATTGTAGAAATCCGTGTGATATATGTTAAAGAAGAACTCCAGTCTTATGAAATCTTAACCCTGGCAGTGAGGCTACCCCCGCACTGCAAGGGTTATGTGATCATTTTGATATATCAACCCAACCTTGGATCCGGCTAGCTGCAGCTCAACCTCTGATCCCTGCAGCCCCTCTGTCCTGGCGATGTAGAAGAACTCCAGTCTTATGAAATCTTAACCCTGGCAGTGAGGCTACCCCCGCACTGCAAGGGTTATGTGATCATTTTGATATATCAACCCAACCTTGGATCCCGCTAGCTGCAGCCCCTCTGTCCTGGCGATTGGCTGTCCCTCGGCTTCCTCAGGTCCAATACACTATATTACATTCTTATTTGTTGTAAGAATGATTCCATTAAAAGGAACTGGACGGTCACATCCAGATATTCCCCAACAAGGAGTTCAGCCAGGGAAGGAAAGCACAGTATCGGCTGAAGGCCAGATAGTAAAACAGGTCAAAACATGGGCATCACATGCAATTTAAGGGTTACTTGCGATTAGGTGGCCTAAGGTCGCAACTGCGCCCTTATACATCCAGCCAGAGATCCGCCTCCTGTGGGTATTTAAAGAAGTATGTTTTCCCTTTGTTAGCAATTCTTAGTTTGTGGGGATAGCGCATCTTATTGATGACGTTTTTGTTATGGAGCCTTTTCTAAATATTGGTGTATACAACTCTTTGTTTTTGGGTGCCCACTGGGGGTAAAATAGTATTGCTGTTATAACATATGGTCTGTAGATTTTTCACTTGAGCAAGTATGTAGACCTTGTCACAGAAATCTAGAATACGGGTGATGATGGATCTCGGGGGTACCTGGGAAGCTAGTGGTGGGGGATGCAGCTCTTGTATGAATTTGTTGGGCCTTTTCAATATCGAAGAGATTAGAGAAGGATTGGTCGCCCATTGTGTCCTTAACTACTTTCCGTCCATGGCCGTTCGTGAACGGCCGGACGGACGTCTGCTAGGAGCGGGAGGGCATCTTAAGACGTCCTGCCCCTCCCCCTTCTCGTGTGCGGCACTCAGCGCGCACACAAGAGGGAAAACTGTAAGCATGTAAACAGCCAGCGATGGCTGTTTACATACAAGCGATCAGGCGTCTCTAGAGACGCCCGATCGCTTGCAGGAGCTGTGGGTGTGCGCCACCCCCCCTCCTCTCCCCCCGTCCCTTTGTCTGTCTGCTCGTCGCCGCTGCCAGTCCGTGATCCGATGTGGCCGGTGCGGCTGGGACCGGCACGGCGACGCTCTAACAGCAGATCAAAGTGGGATCATTACTTGATCATCCCTTTGATCTCTCTTCCTGTCCCCGAATGCAGGAAGTGATGTATACTACATCACTTCCTGCATTCAGTGTCATTCTCCGGTGCAGAACACCGGAGAGAAGCTGATGAAGCAGATCTCTGCTTCATCAGCTTCTGTGGGGGTCCCTAGGTGACATCAGAGGTCTTGGAGACCCCTGATGTCTCCATAAAGAGGACCTGTTTGGTGAACTGGCTATTACATAGGGGATTCCTTAGTCCCCTATGTTATAGCAATAAAGTTAAGTCAAAAAAAAAAATTTCAGCATTAAAAAAAATAAAGAAGCTAAAAAAAATATTCACAAATAATAATTAAACAAAATAACACAAAAAATGTTTTAAAGTCCCCCGCCCCCCCACATACACACACAAACATGCGTCGGGTGCCCCTATGTACAAAAACGACGATTGCGCCCATTATGCAGCACATGTTACATATCGCCGCGAACGTCGCAGTGAGAACAATAATTCTAGGGCCATCAATCACTGATAACACTAAACTGATGAGCGGTAAATACGTTTAAAGCGTCGCTTTTGGCCAATTTTGGTTGCGGGAAGTTTTCTGCGATTTTGCGGGCGCGCGCAATTTTAAAGGTTGACATGTTTAGTGTCTATTTACCCGACGTGACCCCGTCTTTTATATTATACCAAAAAATTGGGGTGAAAATAAATGTTTCATAACATTTTATAGGGAAACATGTTTTTTTTTCAAAATTTAGTTTTTTTGTGATATAGTAAAAAAATAAAAACCCCAGTGGTGATTAAATACCACTAAAAGAAAGCTCTATCTGTCCCCAAAAAATGGTATGAAATTCATTTCAGTACAGCGTTGCATGACGGAATAAACATCAGTCAAAGTACTGCAGCGCTGAAAAATGGCCTGGCCAGGAAGGGGGTGAAACACCATGGCCTTTAAGTGGTTAAGTAATTTCTCAATGAAGGATTCAACATTTTCTCTCCCCTGGGAACCCCAGAAAAGCATTATTTCTCTACAAACTGTCCTCATGTGATCTCCTGCAGGCTGGAGGCTCTGTATAATCTAATGACAGTTGCCAGTGCCCACAGCTCTTTGCAGGTTGTTTACAAGTAATTCAGCAACCTGTTATTACCTATGGATGATCACATATGGGCACAAACTGCATCAAGGTGCGGTCATCTGCAGGTAATCGCAGGCTGCGCGATTATTTGCAAACAGCTGCGGGTGGTGGTAGCTGTCATTGGATTATACAGCGCCTCCCATCTGCAGGAGATCTCGTGGGTCTCACGGAGAAATGAATGAGACTTATGCGAGTGGCCCCATTCGGAGGTGTGAATAGATTTTGGTTCATTTGTTGGCCCTGTAAGGTTGTGTGTAGAACTGGAGTTTGGCCCATTTAATGCACTGAAATAACTTAGAAGCTGCCCTGGTAGAAGAACAGATTGCAGCAAGTCTTGCTATGTATGCTATCTATACATCCTCCTTTCCAGCATTCCTTTGTAATGGATGTTTTGCATTTAGGAAGTTGGAAGCAAAGAGTATGCATGTGTGGAACATATTCCCCAATCAAAGACCAAAAAAATAGCAGCCTCTCTGAGCTCACACTGGTATGTAACATCAGTGATCATCCATTGCTTCCAGCTGCTTCCTGGCCATATGGACCGACTCTAAAAACAGCCTGGGTGACTGAGCAGCTGATGTTAAGGGAAATACTCCAACTCTACGTGCCGTTGCACTGCTGGTTTACAGACTACAGCAGTGTCCTCCCATTAGAAACTTGCACTTGTGATTTATAATTGTAGTTATCATTGTTGCTGTGATGTTAGTGATATATATAGGAGGTGACACAGGGGCTAGTTATGTGTGAAACGTCTGTTTGCTTTTTCTTTTTATCAGCAAACCTTTTTTTTTGTCCTGTGCATAAATGTAGGTTTACCAGAGTAATTTCAGTTCTGCTTTCCACATTTGCTGCTGTTCTATCATTTGCAGCCATGTTTGTCATTCGATTTTGAAAATAATCGTTAGCTGCAGCTCTAGGTATGTGTTAAATTCTTTAAGCTGTAAATCTGTACATTTAGAAAGAAAATTCACATTCTTAGTTTGACACTGCAAGGGTCTGTGTTGAGGGGCTTTGGGCTTGTGTCAATGGGCAATTCAGCTTCCTTATCACATTAGATTAAGGGCCTGTTCACAGCATAGCGTTGCACTAAATGCATTGGGGTGCGATTCAAATGAATGGCAATGCAACGTACCTAGTGCACGGTTCCCCATGCTATGTGCGCTGTGCTAAACGCATTGATACCATGCATTTAGCCCAATGCTATGTTCTGAACAGGCCCGAAGACATTTCTGACAGCTTATTTTACACTTCTATAGACTTGCATGGGGAGAGAAGCAACTGTGATGTCCTAATCGATTAGTTGGCCGATTTATTTTCCGATTTAGTCAGTTAAAAAAATGTAAATAAATACCATCCTTAATTTAAAATGAAAGTTTACTTCAGAATAAAACTGCATGCACAACTTTTTGCAATGGCGCTGCACTGGAACGCACAGCATTGTGGTACCGTGCGTTCCAGTGCAGGCAATCACACTGTCGGTGGGAGGCGCGTTTGGGTTGCCGTTGAAATGGCACTGCAGCGCACCTCCCGCAGCAGAATTTGTCAGGCTGAAACCGAAAATTACTTTTTTTCCAACCTTTTTATAATTTTTTTTTTCATAATTGTATTGTAAGCACATGACGCTTGAATAGCTTAAGCCAGGGAATGATAGCTGCCAGTGGGAAGACTCTGCAGACGGTAGCTGAGCCAAAGTATATCAGGTAGTGGGCTGGTGCAAAAGCCAGCCTGCTATTGGCCATTTCAATAGCCAATAGCAGACTGACTATTGCACCTGCCCACTGCTTGCTGTGCCCTCTTTCCAACGTGGGGAGAGTTGGGGGATCAAACCAACTAATCGATAATGAGGATACTTGACAACTATTCTTATAATCGATTATCGATTAGTTCGTTGCAGCCCTAGATGTCACCATCAACACAGATATAAAGAAATACTTGTAATCTAAGCCTCTGCCCCATATAGGTTTTCCAGTTTTTTGGCACTTTTGCTTTCAAGGACTACTTAACATGCTAGCTTTACATTTTAGAACAGCACCTATGTATACATTTCCCCAAAGGCTTATGGTAAGTAATGTATACAGGGATATAGTTAGCCTGCTACAATATTTTTGATGACTGGTTCTTAGACTGCACATTTTATACCATAATGAATTAAGTTCTTATGAATTTTATGGACATGTTCCAAAATAATAAAAAAAAAAAAATTCCTAGCCCCTCGTCAATACAGTAAACTGTTCCATCAAGATGGTAAAAATCTAGTGCCTGCACATAATGTCCCGTAGGCTTGAATGGGATTTACCTACCCATACTGCAGGAACAAAATCCCATCTAGCTGGGAGCTGGGCTGCAGACAGCGGTTTGCACAGTTTATATTGAGGAGACTTGGGAGAGAGCCTAATGGAATTTTTTTTTTTTCTTTTTTGATCTTAGCCTTTAACTTAATTTTTTACTTATGGAATATAGTTGGTAGCCTTTAGAAAATGGTGTAATGGTGCCATCTAGAGGTAACCAACGTTAATGCAAGTTGTTCCTGACAGTAAAAAGTGTATGTATGATTTTTCTTGTCTTTTTTTTCTTTTTTTAAAAAGATTGCTCATGCAGGAATGCTAGTTACTATGGAAACCGTGCAGCCACCTTGATCATGCTGGGAAAGTTTCGGGAAGCGCTGGAGGATGCTCAGCAAGCCGTTCGACTAGATGACACCTTTGTGAAGGTGGTTACTAAATATTGTGTTTATTCTGTGTTGTGACCAGTCTAGATCAAAATGAAACCAGTGCTGACATTTTCTAAGGCTGCTGTAGGTTGCCAGATCTTGGATATGGATTCCCTGCTTTTACCACAATATGCTTTGAAAACGATACATGTAATTAAGCTATTATTTTGTTACCTTGTGTGTGTGTGTGTGTGTGTTAAAGTAGTAGTAAACTCTCTCAAAAAAAATTCTATAATGAATCCAGATGAAGCACATATACATTACGCAGCAAAGTATTTCTTAACGTTTTTGCCCAAACACTGACCATCATGTTTCTGAACAGCTGCTTCCAAAGCTCTCAGCTCAGCTTCCCTGAACTCTGTCCAGTACAAGATCACAAGGGACAGTGCAGACTCCAGCAACTGTTCATCTATCAGGGCCCGTTCACACCGTGCAGTTTGGCCGCGCGGATCCGCCGACATGAACGTTCCCATACATTGCTATGGGGACTGTTCATGCGACTGTGCAGGTACCCCCACCCCGCCCACCAGCATTGCTCCCTGACCCTTTTTTGCTGCGCTGTTCAGCGCGGTTTTGGCGTTTTTTTTATTGCGTTTCAGCGCTGAAACGCAATTAACTCCCAAAACAGCCCTTTTAAAATCAGCGCAGAAACCTCGCTGATCCACAACTGTCCTGGTGTGAATGGGGCCTCAGCTTGGAGGAGAGGGGGGGAGGGAAGTAGCTTAAGTTACTGTGTGTTGGTGGAGATGCACACAGCTTACTAGCATACACAAGGCTGACTGCATAGCACTCTGCTTGAGAAAGGTGTCACTCTCAAACAGGAAGTCAGGACCGGTGCTGAGGGAACCAGCTGATACTGCAGGAAACTAAAACTTTTAAACATCAAGGAGCAGCATCCATTGTAAGTGATTTCTTAAAGGAGAACTATGGGGTCAGTGTTTTTCCCCATAGTTCTCCTTAGGTTAACGGGAGGACACAAACTAGCGTATACTGAGACGTCGGAACTGATCCCGACTTAGACGACGGGATCCGCCCAGCTGCGTGAGTGAGAGGCAGAGCCAGCTGTACCCGCCCCCTCCCCCGTCCGTTCTGCCAGTCAGTGCTGGCAGATCGGAGAGGGGAATCCAGCCCCTCCCCCTGTCACGGCAGAGAGCTGTGACAGGATCGAGAGGTGAGCGAACCCGGTATGTGTTCGCTCACCTCCCGATCTACTGAGCCGACCTGTGACAGTCTCATTGTCACAAGTCGGCTAGAACTAGGAGGTGAGTGAAAAGCACTAACCTCATAGTTCTCCTTTAAGCATTTGAAATAGCTTTAAATGCTTTTGACTTTAATATCACTTTAAGTATTGGTTTTTCTAAAATATACATATAACTGCTACATGTTTCTCTTTTCACAACACTAACTGATTTGTATCATTTAGCAGTCAGTTTAAGAACGTTCGTGCAACAGCCTGTCTTATCTGCAGAGAACAAAGGCATTTAAGAATCCGCAATACAATTTGCCAAATTTGATTAACTTTATAAGGCGGTTTATTTTTCATTACAAAATTGGTGTTTCACTTTAAATAAATCAGCCTGTTTCATTTCCCGGAATGGGTCCTGTGAACGTCAATGATGAAGTTTTGGTATGGACTTAAAGCTATTGCGTTTGAGTAACATTGTGATCAGAGAGCTATTTCTGCTTCTACACTGTTATGATGTAAATATAGAAGTTGCCATTCCTGACTTGTTTTTTTAAAAATGCAGCTTTCAGGAACTTCCTTTTACTACTTTGTCACTGACATGGCACCAGCATACAGGGAGGGAGTTCATACTTCATACATTTTGGAGGGCCCAGGTAATGAATGAAAGGTGAATATGTGTTGCTGGAGGGGGAGCGAGAATTACAATGAACCTACTGATTTGCCAAAACGCATGCTTTAAAAAAATGGTTAAATGTACATTAAAGAACACAGGAAAGTAATCGGAGACCATCCAAGGACTAACAAGCCCCCTATGTGGAAGCACGTTGGAGGTGACAGGTGCTCTTTAAGGAGACTTTGTGTTAGACCCCTAATATTGCCTTTCTACTCCAATGAAGCTAATCAAGCACATATTCATCCCCAGCCATAGCAGCCAGGAAATGACAGCTCTGAACCTGGAAGTGACAAAATACTCGCAGCTTTGAGGGCTCATGATTTGATTGGTATGCCATACGGCACTTTTAGTAAAAGGGTTAAAGGAAAACAGTCAAGAATAATATGGAAACCACGATTGTTGACATTTCCACATAGAAGTTGAAGTTACCTGGCTTTCCTGCTGGCCCTCTGACTTACGTTCTTTGGCAATAGCAGCCTTGTTTCCATTGACAGCCTCAACTTTTTTAAATTTAAACTGGTTACAGCCTATTTTATTGCGTCTCCTGGTTATAAGCGGCGTAGAGCAGCATTTCCAGCATCCAGACAACTTTAGCAGCTTTTCACAAGAAAACAAGAAAGACATAAAGCGCAAGATAAATCCTATCCTGTCTGACACTATAATTTGCATCCCTCATTGCCAGGGAGCTAAAGCTTGTGTCCAGCTGCAAGAAACATAAGCTTTTTCACTTACATGGCTGACAGTTCATGTTGTCTTTCCTTTTCTCTCACACATGCTTTTCCTCCTTTCTTCAGGTGTTGGAAGAGCCTATGATCAGCCAACTCCCTATAAAATAAAAGTTACTGCACTTGTTTAACCACTTGAAGACCGGGGTGTTAAACCTCCTTCCTGTCCAGGCCATTTTACACTATTCAGCACTGTGGTACTTTGACATTTATTTGGTCCTGCAACACCGTGCTGAAATTAATTTTTGTATAATTTTTTTAGGGACAGATAGATCTTTCGTTTGGTGATATTTAATCACCACTGTGGTTTTTATTTTTTACTACATAAAGAAAAAAAATTACCAAAAAAATTGAAAAAAGTTTTCCCTACATTATGTTATGAAACATTTTATTATTTACCAAGTTTTTAAATAAAAGATGGGGTCAGGTAAATAGCCACCAAACATGTCAAGCCTTGAAATTGAGTGCGCCTGCGAAATCACAAAATTGACTATAGGCGACGCTTTAAAAGCTTTTGGCGCTTATCAATTTAGTGTCAACAGTGATTGGTGGCACTACAATTATTCGAACTTCACGGTACGCGGTGATACGGAATATGTGCGGCACAATGGGAGAGCAGTCTTCGTTTTTGCACATAGGCGCACCGGACACATGTTTGCATTTTGCATGTGTGTACATGGGGCTAAGAAGCCCCCTGTGTGATAGCAAATGTACAGTGACAGTTTGTCTTCATGGAGACATCAGGGGGGGCGCAGACCTTTAGACAACACAAGCGATCGGACGCCTCTATAGCCACCTGAACACTTGTATCTAAGCAGCCATCGCCGGTTGCTTAAAATGCTGTTGGCAGCGGGGAAGGACGTTTTGAAACGCCTACCCACATTCTGGTGGTTATTAAAGGCTTCTTACCTCCTTGTTTGCTTTCTACTTTTTTGTGTTCAGTGTACAATCTGGGCATCTGCTGGGACAAATGAACTCCCATGTGTGGGAGTTAAAGGAGAACTATGGGGTAACCTTTTTATTCCATAGTTCTCTTAAGGGTCGTGGGAGGACATATATTAGCGTCCTCCCGTGACCCAAAGTTCAGTATATAGCGAGCTATATACTGAGAGCGACGCAGCGGGGACGGATCCCCACAATGCTGTTGAGATCCACCCAGCAACGTGAGTAACAGCTGGCTCTACCTATCTAGAGGCAGAGCCAGATGTGCCCGCTCCGTCCGTTCATCCACTCAGCCCTGGAGGATTGGAGAGGGGAGGGGGGGAATCCGTGCAGGGAGCGCTGACTGACAGTCACCGCTCTCTGCAGGGAGATGATCGGTATGCGTTCAGAGTCGACGTGTGACAGTTTCATTGTTACACGTCGGATCGAACTACGAGGTTGAGTAAAAATCACTCACCTCATAGTTCTCTTTTAAATCACCCTGGACCAACCACTGAAAATGGCCAAAGATGTCGGCAACTGGGGAGCTTACACTGCACTGCTAGAGTGGAGGTGGTATACTTCCTCTTTAACTACCTCCGGGCCGGCCGTTTTTTCAGGAAAAAAAACAGCCGGCCGGGAGCTCTCTAGATCTGAGCGGGCGTCTTTAGACGTCCGCTCAGACACGCCCCCTCGCGCACGCAGCTGGGCACGCGCGAGCGGGTAATGGCCGATATTTAAAAACAGGCAGCGATGCCTGTTTAACATACAAGCGATCCGCTTCAGAAGCTGGAAAGAAGCTGATGGAGCAGATCTGTGCTTCATCAGCTTCTTTTGGGGGGTCCTAGGTGACAGGGGTCTTGGAGACTCCTGATGTCTCCATAAAGAGGACCTGTCACATATTTTGCTATCACATATGGGGGTTTTATTAGCCCCCTTATGTGATAGCAATAAAGTTTAGTGGAAAAAAAAAATTAAAGTCCCTCCCCATACATACACGCATGCAAACATGCGTCGGGGGCGCATACGTGCAAAAAAGACGATTGCGCCCATTACGCCGCACATGTTACATATCGCCGCGAACGTCGGAGTGAGAGCAATAATTTTAGGGCCATCAATCACTGATAACACTAAACTGATGAGCAGTAAAAGCTTTTAAAGTGTCGCCTATGGCCAATTTTGGGTATGGTAGTTTTCTGCGACGTCGCGGGTGCGCGCAATTTTAAAGCTTGACATGTTTGGTGTCTATTTACCCGACGTGACCCCGACTTTTATATATTTTACCAAAAAACTGGGTAATAAATGTTTCCTAACATAATGTAAAAAAAAAATATTCAAAATTTTCAGTAATTTTTCCTAATTTATAGTAAAAAATAAAACCCGTAGTGGTGATTAAAGGAGAACTATGAGATGAGTGATTTCCACTCACCTCATAGTTCTAGCCGACCTGTGACAATGAGACTGTCACAGGTCGGCTCAGTAGATCGGGAGGTGAGCGAACACATACCAGGTTCGCTCACCTCTCGATCCTGTCACGGCTCTCTGCCGTGACAGGGGGAGGGCTGGATTCCCCCCTCCCCGCTCCGATCCGCCAGCGCTGACTGGCGGAACGGACGGGGGAGTTGGGCGGGTACAGCTGGCTCTGCCACTAGATAGGCAGAGCCATCTGTCACTCACGCAGCTGGGCGGATCCCGTCATCTACGTCGGGATCGGCTGCGGCGTCTCAGTATACCTCGAGCGGTAGCTCGCGGTATACTGAGCTTAGGGTAACGGGAGGACGCTAGTTTGTGTCCTCCGGTTACCCTAAGGAGAACTATGGGGAAAAACACTGACCCCATAGTTCTCCTTTAAATACCCCCCAAAATGGAATAAAATTCATTTCAATACAGCGTTGTATGACGGAATAAACGTCGGTCAAAGTACTGCAGCGCTGAATACTGAAAAATGGCCTGGCCAGGAAGGGGGTTTAAACACCTGGTCTTCAAGCAGTTAAAGACTTGCCATGAAAATATATTGTGTGCAAATGTTTATTCAGTTTGTTGGGTTTTTTTGTCTGTTTTTAATAACAAACTTGACTTATGCAGAATTTTCAAATCACTGAAGTTGGATTGTTGCTCCACATCTTGTACTGTGACCCTTACAAGGATTTTATTGCATGCTTTTAGGGTCATCAACGAGAGGGAAAGTGTCACCTGACACTGGGAAATGCAATGGCTGCATCTCGCTGCTTCCAAAAGGTTCTGGAGATGGAGCCTAACAATGAGCAGACCCGGCAAGAGGTATTGATAAAATGTTGTAGTCTCTGCACTTGTACATTGCTTACAGGCACTTGATGTGTGTATACCTCTTTGTGTTCTGTTCTTGAGTTTTAATCCCTCCTGATTTAACTCCAGTAGTGCCAAAGTATCCTGTAGCAACATGTGCCTTCCCACATGTGTATATACCTGGAAGGTTGCATACTTTACTCTGCATCTCTTTTCTTTATAGCTGAAAAATTCAGCAGCCGTTCTAGAATATGAAAGGATTGCGGAAGTCGACTTTGAGAAACGCGATTTTAGAAAGGTAAATTTGTTTCTTCATTGTATCATATGTGATACAGAAAATATGAAATATAGAAAGTGTTATTCCTACATGTAGGGGCTGGATCTATTAAGGTGTATCTGCTAACGCCTAGAACTCCCTCTGGTGGCTTGTAGCTGTCCTTTTATAGGTTGCATGTAAAAGCCTCTCAGTAAGCGGCTCGCAATCTATCAGTACAGTTGCTGCACCATTGCCGTCATTTAACCGAGAGTCAGAGTTGAATATATCTAACTATTGCGTGACATGTTTTGAGTTTGGCTTACAAGCTAAGAAAAGTCTTTTTTAATCTTGATTCAGTAGGTATACTAGATGAATTGGATTTGAAGTCTTACTTTTCCAGTGCAGAGGTGGATGATCTGTGGCTGCGGCCCAAAATGAAATAGTAAAATTATTAGTTTATACACATATTGGGTTCAGTTGGAAGTCAAGTGAGTCCCTGACATGACATCAGAACACAAGAAAGAAGCACATTTATCTTTAAAGCTTTAGTAAAATGAATAACATTGGTCTGGAACCAATGCCCCAGTAGCTACAAGTAGCAATTCATCTCCATTAACCCTTTCTATGCTGGTCACGTCAGTGGCTTTTACTGTTCTGCTATGAACTCATGGTCGCTTTAGCCAGAACAGTTCTCCCGACGGTCCCCTTTAAAATAACAGCTGTTAACAAAAAATCCGGGCAATCTAAAGCCTCTTCTCCCCGCCTGGAGCCGCTACAGGCTGGGACCTATTTCTCCTCGGATCCCTGCTGCTCTCACCCACCTGTATGGGCTGAAGCAGTGGGGATCCGAGGATAAATGGCCGGTGGGGTGGCGGAGGAGGGAGCGCTGAAGAGATTACCGTAATATACAGGGGTACGGGTACTCCTAGAATGAGATCCTAATAGGTTGGACTTGATGGACTAATGTCTTTATTCAACCTCAAATACTATGTTAGAACACATCAAAATGCTTGATTTTTTTTTTTCTTTTTCAAATAACATTAATTTAACTTTGGCAGCACGTGGCAAAGGGTGGTGATGTATTGCCATGCATTGTGATACGCTGTGTTCGTCTGTATCATTTTATCACAACACACACACCAGCACAGCGCACAAACGATTTTTAACATAAGTCGCTTAATTACAGTTTTGCACTACTTCATTTATTTTTTTACCGTTGCAAAAGGGCACGATTTTTATACGGTTTGGGGGGTCTTTTACAAACGCTAGCAATGCAGCAGTAGAAAATCAAAATTATGGGAAAAATTGCAAAAATGGTGTGGCCTGCTGAGGTTTAAAGTGTTCCCTAGGATTGTCACAGAAAGGGTTAAAGTTACCTGTACTTTATAATTTAAAAAAAAATAATCATTTATAATAATGTAAATAAATTGTGGCCATAAGCATGATGTTTTGGTGGGTTTGGCTAGCTTATAGAGAATAATGTCCAGTATGAGTAAACATACCAACCTCTCTGCATTATAAAAAAAAAAAAAACAGGCTACAGTAATGAGAAGGCTTGTACACAGGTCAAATTAATGAAAGGTACAGTGCTTCTTGGTGGCTGTGGTGCAGTTCTCATGCTTGGAGTAGACAGAGGTATTTGTTGCAGAGGTTAATACCTGTATAAGGCCCAATAAATGTTTTTTTTATTAATTTAATACAGCTGCCCTTTAAAAGGAACTGTCCAGTATGGCATATATGAAAGCAGTAGTTGCTGACTTGATCCTAAGGTGAAAGCTGTGGGACTCTCAACTTTAGCCTTGCTTCAGTAGCTAAGAGTCCCTGACCTGCAACAAGTTAGCGAGTCACTAGCTCCATGCTTGTTATAAAGTTGAGTTTTGAAGTGAACCCAGTCTAATAGTTTATCTCGCATTTGTCAACGTTCCCTACTTTGTGAGTGGCAGAGGTACAAGTATTAGATTGTAAGCGCCACAGGATTGACGAGAATGCTTTAATGTTAGTGTAAGGAATGTAAACAAAGCTTTATGGTTCTATTTGTAATTATTTAGCCTCCTCTGTATTCCATATGCATACAAAAATGTACAGCGCTTTTGCTTATTGCTTTTTTGTGGCAGGTTGTATTTTGCATGGATCGGGCCTTAGAGTTAGCTCCTGGCTGCCACCGCTTCAAAATCCTTAAAGCAGAATGTCTGGCGATGCTTGGCCGCTACCCAGATGCCCAGTCTGTTGCCAGGTAGTGTATACATTATAGCTTTTTTATAACTACTTCTCGTTATGTCTGTCTGCTGCCTGTGGACAGGTGACAGAATTGTGTAAGTTATTCCTCAGCCTTCATATTTGAGTGATCATTTTAACTTTCTCCAAAACGCTGCTTGAGATTGTCTGTTAACAAGATTGTTTATATATCTTTTTGCTGATACTTGCAGAGTTTAATATTTATTAGTCTGATAATAGCCACTCTTTACTGGATTCCAGCACCATAAAAGCCTGTGTTTAGGGGTATCATGCCTTCCCTGCCGTGAAAAGAGATGAACCTGGTCATTGTTTCTGTGGCCCCTGTAGCTCTTAATTTAAAGCAATAAGACAAGTGAAAAAGAAACATATAAAGCAGGGGTACCGAGTTGAAGTTCAAAGAGGTCTATTGAGTACAATTCTCTTTCAGCAAAGGTCCAGATCCCATGTCCTTTCAATACCCCCTTACATTAGTGTTCCCCATCAGAGTGCCCCCTTACATTAGTGTTTCCCATCAGATCATCCCCTTGCATTAGTGTTCCCCATAAGAGCACCCTCTTTCATTAGTGTTCCCCATAAGAGCACCCTCTTTCATTAGTGTTCCCCATCAGAGCGCCCCCTTTCATTAGTGTTCCCCATCAGAGCGCCCTCTTTCATTAGTGTTCCCCATCAGAGCGCCCTCTTTCATTAGTGTTCCCCATAAGAGCACCCTCTCTCATTAGTGTTCCCCATAAGAGCGCCCTCTTTCATTAGTGTTCCCCATCAGAGCACCCTCTTTCATTAGTGTTCCCCATCAGAGCGCCCTCTTTCATTAGTGTTCCCCATCAGAGCACCTTTTTTGGTAGTGTTCCCCATCAGAGCGCCCTCTTTCATTAGATCCACCGCACTCCAGACCGAAATCCCTGCTCCACATCACACCTCCAACAGTTGGAGGGCACCAGTGGGTTAATTTTATGCAGGAGTGTGGGAACCCTGCACCATCTGGCTAAGATCTTGTAATATGACCTGTGGATGGCACCGCGCAAATCACAGGAATATTGAAAAAGTCACCAGCATTCTAAAGTCAAATGTGCTGAACATCCTTTTTATTAAGACGCTAGGCAAACATAGTGACGCAGTGCAATAAGCAACGTTTCGGAAAAAAACATGGTCCGACATTTATTTACCCCCGCTATAAAGATTAGTTTGCAATTCAGTAGATATTTGCTTGTCACTAGTAAGCAGCTACTAAACCACCTGAGAAAAACAGGTGTCATTTTTTTATTGGATTTAGTCTGTTGGCTTATAAATTATGCAACCTGTGTGGTGAGGCTTGAAGGCCTGTCAGATTATTGTATGGCTTGTACATTTGATATCTTATTTCTGTACATTGTGTTTCTCCTAGTGACATCTTACGGATGGATTCTACAAATGCTGATGCTCTGTATGTACGAGGTCTCTGCCTCTATTATGAAGACTGTATTGAGAAAGCTGTACAGTTCTTTGTACAGGCCTTGAAAATGTTCCCAGATCACCAGAAAGCTCGTTTAGCCTGCAGGGTATGTGTTGCATGTTGTCTTTAAAGAAGCACAAAAATGTTATTTTTATTCAACTGGACTACACAGGAATGAAAACATTGCTCTGTTTGAATGTGTTAAAAATGGGTTGTTTGGATGCAAAATATGTGAAAAAAGTTTTCAAAAAGCTTATATGAAGACAGAAGACTCCTTGCACTGTATACAGACAGAGCTAGCATTTTGGGGAGGCCATACCTCCCCAAAATACATTTTGTTCTCCCCACTTGTCCTTCAATAGCATTTCCTTAAGCCCTTTCCCTGTACAGTTTATTTATATATCATTGGAACTAGAAATCAATATACTCTTTAATTTGCTTTACTTTACTCTTTACATGTCTACAGTGTATGTGTAGGCCCTGTTAACCACTTCAAGACCAGGTGTTTAGACCCCCTTCCTGGCCAGGCCATTTTTCAGTATTCAGCGCTACGGTACTTTGACTGACGTTTATTCCGTCATGCAACGCTGTACTGAAATGAATTTTATACCATTTTTTGGGGACAGATAGGGACTTTTGGTGGTATTTAAACACCACTGGGGTTTTTATTTTTTACTATAATTAGGAAAAATTACAGAAAAGTTTTGGTAGAAGCTGATGAAGCAGAGATCTGCTCCATCAGCTTCTTTCCAGCTTGTGAAGCTGGAGAGTGACACAAGAATGCGGACCTTTGGATACTGGGCACTGTATTGGGGTGTTTTCCAGACCTGCTTGTATTGTGTTGGTTAGCCGCAGAGTGATTTTGACGTTCAGAGCCATGGCACAGCCCCAGGTGTGACACAATATCTGAAGACTCACTTGGTAAGTAAGGCCAGTTGGGCTGAAGCACAGTGAGCTAGCTCACTGCAGCACTGTTAGGTGCATTTTATATTTCCTGCCACCGCTGGTTTACCCACAGTAAGGGTTAAAGCTGAAAGATCACACTTTGTGACATCTGTTGGGTGCAGTGCTGCCCATGTGCTCTCTGAGCTCTTTCCCGCCGTTCAGCTTGGAGAAGGCTTCATCCTGCTGCTGCTGCTTCTGAAGCTCCACATGGATCTCCAGTCCCCGAACAGTTCGCACTTGGTTGTTTGAAACCCATGTCAACACCAGCTTCCAGGGTTTGTGTGTATTGGAGCCTGGTTGCAGTACCATAATGCAGATGCAACATTTCTTCACTAGGATGCTCCGAATGCAATCCCATTTCTACAGATGACCTCAGACCATACTCCTCTATGGGTTTTTGGGAACTTTTATCATGTACCCCAGGCAAAAGCAGGAGGTAGCAGATCCGGCCAAGGCTCCAATTCAGGGGTTGAGAGGACCAAGTGTTGAACAAATTTAGGCAAATCCGCAGGTGTCTGAAAGATCCCAGTTTGGCCGTTGCGGAAGGTACGAAGAGAAAAAGGATATCCCCACTGATAAGAAATTGCAAAGTCACGTAACAAAGCTGTCAGGGGCCGCAAAGCACACCTCCAGGCCAAAGTACGCGGAGACAGGTCCTGGTAGAGAGTCACTTTGGCACCATCAAAGTCCATATGCCCTTTTAGTTTTAGCTTTCAGCACAATGTCTTAACTTTAAAAAAGTGGACACGGCAGAGAACATCACGTGGGCCGCTGGCGCCCAGCCTGCTATACCCAGGAGTGCGATGCACCCTGTACAGCTTAATCTCCTCAATGACCGCCTTGTGGCTCAGGGTTACCGCTTTTGGTACTGAAAATTAACCCCGAGCCACACTCGGGATTACCGCCAGGAAGGTTAAAGTCCATACTAGCCACCTATATAACAGATAAGGGTCTGATATGAGTTTTGGAGGGACTATATTTTTCACATTTTAGACTGGGGTACATACTTTTAAAGGGTGCCATGACTGAAAAAAGATCTTCACGTAAACACGCGTCTGGTGCGCCTGCATATCAAAACGACGATCCCGCTACACATGTTCAGTATCGTTACGCACGCTGGAGTGAGAGCAATAATTCTAGGGCCAATATTTCTAGGGCGTATTTCTAAACTGATGACCTGTGGGTCCTTTTAAAACGTCTATGGACTTTTTGGGGTACTGAATTTTGTCGCAGTTTCACAGACACACAATTTTTAACCTGGGCATTTTGGGTATGTATTTACTCGTTGTAACCTCATTTTTTTATGATTTAGTTTTACAAAAATTGTATTTTATTGTGTTTTGGGACATTTAACATTTTTCACTAAATGTTGGGGATTGATAAGGAGTTGCGCTAATGTTGTGCAACATAACAATTTGCAACTGCCAACATTTTATTCTATAGGGTCTTGGCTTTCAGAAAATATATAATGTTGGAGGTTTTAAATCATTACATTTTCTAAAATGTGGATTATAACATGTAAACAAAAAAGGAAAAAAAGGCCTTGGTCATGAAAGGGTTAAAGAGAACCTTTGTCTGTTTATCTTAAAAAAGAACTATGGGGGTAAGTGTTTTCCCCCATAGTTCTCTTAAAGGTCACGGGAGGATATATACTAGCGTCTTCCCATGACCCAAAGCTCAGCATATAGCAAGCTACAGCTCGCGGTATACTGAGATCGCTACAGCCAGGACGGATCCCGACATTACTGTCGAGATCCACCCAGCTGTGTGAATGACAGCTGGTTCTGCCTATCTAGAGGCAGAGCCAGCTGTACACGCCCCCTCCGCCGTCTGTTCCTCCACTCAGCGCTGGAAGGTCGGAGGGGGGATCCCTGCAGGGAGCCATGAGTGACAGTCACGGCTCTCTGCAGGGACAGGATCAAGAAGTGAGTGAGTGACGGTATGTGTTCGCTCACTTCCCAATCTATTGAGCCGACCTGTGACAGTTTCATTGTCGCATGTCTGCTCGAACTATGAGGTGAGTGATTTTCACCTCATAGTTCTCTAAAGTTTTAAAAATGCTTTAGGTGTTTTTATGTTACCAGTTTTCCAATTGTTCCTATTGGGTGTAGCATTGTTTTATTTTTGTTTTTTTACTAAGCCATCGTTTTTTGAGTTGAAGAATACAGTAAATAACTTTTGCGTGCAGAGCTGGCTGGTTTTCTTTACGTTTTTCTTGATACCAGTGACTAGACTTTTTATACAGAATAACTTAAAGTAGTATTAAACTCTCAAACGTTTTTAAATAATGAATGCAGATCCTGCAAAGCATTGCTTTACATTTTTGCCCACTTCACTTCACAAAACAATCATCATGTTCCTGAACAGCTGCTTCCAAGTGTTTCAGCTTGGCTTCCCTGAACTTCCTGTCCAGTACAAGATCACAAAGGACTGTGCAGACTCCAGAAACTGCTCATCTTCTATCTTGGAGAAGGGGGGGAGGGGAGTAGCTTAATTTGCTGTGTTTGTGGAAACACACAAAGCTTACTAGCACACACAAGAGTGACTGCATAGCACTCAGCTTGAGAAAGGAGTCACTCTAAAACAGGAAGTCAGGACCAGTGCTCAGGGGACCAGCTGATTCTTCAGAAAACTTTTAAACAAGGAGTAGCATTCATTGTAAGTGATTTCATCAGCATTTAAAATGGCTTAAAATCCTTTTGACTTTAATATTACTTTAACATCTTTCTCCATTTTAGAATGCCAAGGCCTTAAAAGCAAAAAAAGAAGAGGGCAACCAGGCATTTAAGGAGGGCAACTATGAACTGGCCTACAGACTTTACTCAGAAGCCCTCAGCATAGACCCCAACAATATCAAAACAAATGCCAAACTGTACTGTAATCGTGGCACTGTAAATGCAAAGGTAAGCAATGAATGGGAAACTTGTATCCTGTGTTCGTAATTGATTGGCACAGCCATCTAGTTGTATTCTGATCCCTCTATAATGGACATGCATTTTGGAGCTTGTGTTCATAGTGTTAAATTCACCTATAAACACATAACCTTCTATACTATTCGATCTATTTGGCAATGGCATTGCACAGCTACAGGGATGCCAGCATGAAGGTTTTCTCTTTTGCAGTGCTGAGACTGATCTGATTATAGCAGGCAAGGGAATTTTTCTTAATATTGCACTATTCCTAAGCTGTGTTCTAGCAGCGGATGCAGTATTTTCATTACGTAATTGGCATATATTTATATGGCTTTTGAAGCGGAAGAGCTGATAAAACAAGTAGCCAATTATAAAACAGCAAGAAAAAATAAGGCCCTTGAGTAGCTCCATGTACACAGTTGCATGAACAAAAAAAATAGCTTTCAGTTATTGGGTAGTAGGAAGTATTGACCCACGTGTTTACCCGATCACATCTAGTAAAGCCTGGAGCTTTTTATACGTTTTTTTTCCAGTGTTATCTTAAAGGAAAACTGAGTTGAGTGATTTACACTCATCCTCATGGCTAGAGCCTATGTATGACGATGAAACTATCACACATCGGCTCTATGGATCGGCAAGTGAGCGAACACATACCGTCGCTCACACACTTCCTGATCATCTCCCTGCAGGATCTCTCCGATCCTCCAGCGCTGTCTAGATTGACAGCAGCCTCTGCCTATCAGCCAGCTGGGTGGATCTCGACAGTATTGTCGGGATCTGTCCCGGCTGCGGCGCTCTGTGTATAGCGGGCTATTGCCTGCTATATACTGAGCTTTGGGTCACGGAAGGAGGTTAGTATATATCCTCTCATGAGAACTATGAGATTAAAAGGTTACCCCATAGTTCTCTTTTAAAGCTCACCTTTTTTTCTAGGACTTTGTTAAAGCAGTGAGCTTTCAAGTGAGATTAAACTCAAGAGTATCACTCGGCTGTTGATCCTCAAATCATCTCTGAATTTGTGCTGACACTGGCCTTCCTTCTGGAGGGTGGCTACTTTTTTTCCCCATGGTCCCTGTGTGTGTTTTTAAGGTTTAACGCCTGAGTTTAGTGTCACTTTCATTGTATGCACCTTTTTCCTGTCCTATGCACATATAGTTATCATCTTTTGTTCTAAATATTTTAGATAGCAAGGGTTAGGAGCCCTCTTTTCGTAGCCACAATAATAGACATTCAGACAGATGAAGATCTTAATAACACCTTCCAATTTTATAGTCTCCCCTCCACTTTCCTGATACAGCAGTTGCACATGGTGTTTCAATATGACTGTGCAGTTCAGTAGGCACCCGATTTTGACTCATTGCGACGTGCCCACTTGGCATTCTGGTGAAGCAAAAGATACTGAAAACTGCTCCAGGTACTTGCACTTCATATGGGTTGCCAACTTTCAGTATTCTTAAAGTGGCAGTCTCCTTGAAGGCAATTTACAACCAGATTGTAATGTGTGTGGCCAATTTCCAGCTTATTCTGCTTATTGATGTTATAAAGGTGAAGAATGATCAGTAGTCCAAATCAGAAAGAAGTGGTCTAGGATGACAACTGCTACATGACACTGACACTACATCTACAGACTGGTAATCTGTAATATATGACATTCTTTTTGGGTTTAGGTAGACCAAGTAAACTGAAATCTGATTGGATATTTATTAGTTTGTTGCTGCATGTAGCTCATTATAACTACTCTGTGTGCTTCTTCAATAAATGTGTTGATTTAGTGCAGTTGTGCTTTTAAACAGCTGAAGAAACTGGATGAGGCCATAGATGATTGTACGAATGCCATAAAACTGGATGACACGTATATCAAGGCATACTTGAGAAGAGCACAGTGGTAAGAATGCAAAAAGAACTCTTTTAAGCACTTATATGCATATGCTGATTACATAACATAACTTCTATGCAGTTTCAGAACAGCAGTCACTCTTTCTTTGAAAATAAGCTTTATTTTTAGGAGGATCCTTATTATTATTATTATTAATGGTCATATAAATATTATTATTATACAGGACTTGTATAGCGCCAACAGTTTGCGCAGCGCTTTACAATATAAGGAAGACATTACAATTCAAGACAAGGTTGTAAGGAGGGCCCTGCCCGTGAGGTCTTACAATCTAAAAGGGAGGGGCCAGTGATACATGAGCTGTGTGGGGATGAATTGTTAAATATGACAGGATTTATAAAAATCTGTACCTGCAGCATAGTCACTCTTCCCCCGTAAATTCACTTGTCTTTAATAGGTCATTGCTGAATGAAATGAAAATTTACTCTGCTTCCATATACCAACAGGGCTTTTCTTCTTATGCTTTGTGTCAGTCATGACAAAGTAATGGTGGTGCTGACATAGAACAGCTTTGCTCCTCCTGTCTCCCTCCAGTCTTAAATTGGTTTTCTACCTTCACCTCGCTTGAAAGCATGTTACATAGTTACATAGTATTTGAGGTTGAATAAAGACATTAGTCCATCAAGTCCAACCTATTAGGATCTCATTCTAGGAGTACCCGTACCCCTGTATATTACGGTCCCTTAAGAAATCGTCCAAAAGTTTCTTGAACAATTCCACATTATTTGCTGAAATCACCGCCTGTGGCAGTGAGTTCCAGACCCTAACTGATCTTACTGTGAAGAACCCCCTTCGCCCCTTGTGCTGGAATTTTTTTTCCATCAATTTTAGGTGATGGCCTCTAGTTTTTGTAACGGAGTTAATTTTAAACAGTTTATCGCTAATGTTGCTACCACCATTAAACATTTTGTACATGGAAATCATATCCCCCCTTAATCTCCTCACCTCTAATGTGAACATGTTTAAATTTAGTAGCCTCGTCTCGTAGCTCTGGTCCTCCATACCCCTAATTAGTTTGGTTGCCCTTCACTGGACTTTTTCCAACTCAAGGACATCTTTTCTTAGTACTGGTGACCAGAACTGGACCGCGTACTCCAGAATGTTTGCTTCGTAACCACCACTGACCAGCTTCTCATACTCTGCTGATCACCATTTTAGTGTAAGTTGCAAAGTAAATGTGGCACTGTTACCAGCTGCTTTGACTCTCAATTCAAACAGCTCATCTGTGAGGATCTCTTTATGGTTTGGAGCTAAGTTGTACCACTAAAGAAGAACTCCAGGAATTGTTTTTTTATGAACCCTTGCAGTGGGGCTATCCCTGCACTGCAAGGGTTAAGTGCTTGTTTATGTCTAGGTGCTTAAATAACAAATATATACTCACCCGAAGTGCCAAGCCAGCCAGCTGTCATGGCGCTCCCTCCAGTCTGTCTCCCCTTCCATGCAGCATTGTCATCTTCGTCAGCATCCTCGCATCTATACGCTGTATATAGATGTTGATGAGTCACGGAACCTTAGACCGCTTCAGGAGAAGGGCACATAACTAGTAAAGCTGGCTACACACTGAGCACCACCTGACATCCTTCAATTAAAGGAACCAAGCGGAAAATTGTTGGCCAAACAGCTCTTGCATCCTTTTTAGGTGCAGGTACTGTTCAGGTGTTTTGACAGCCGGTGGGGCTGATTGTTAAAAAAAACAATAGCCACAGCAAGAGATTACCCCATCCCTGCTAAACAGCAGGGGAATATGTTTATTTGTTCCCATTCACACATCATACCAAAAATATTTTTAATATATTTCTTACCTTTTAGCTGTGTCTTTGGTGGAGGCCTTTGTGCAGATGCCACACTTAGGGGTGTACTCACTTTTGTTGCCAGCGGTTTGGACATTAATGGCTGTGTGTTGAGTGATTTTGAGGGGACAGCAAATGTACACTGATATACAAACTGTACACTCACTACTTTATATTGTAGCAAAGTGTCATTTCTTCTGTGTCGTCACATGAAATGATATAATAAAATATTTACAAAAATGTGAGAGGTGTGAGATACTGTAAGTGAGCTGGTACCCATATACATATAATATGAATAATTTTAGGTATATATCCTCTTCTTGAGGTATTCGACGCAACTTTGTCTTTTGTATTTTTCTAAAAGTTGGGTATTATATTGTGTTTTTATGTGCACTAAAATGAATTTGAGCGTATTCTTTTGCTTGAAATCCATAATGCTTTGGGAGTTTATGTAATCTTTAGACCTAAAATGTGCATTTTAATGTATGTAAAAAAAAATTTCCTAACTAGCTCAGGCAGTGAAAGGGTTTAAGAAATTCTACGATGTTGCTAAGATTATGATACACATGTAACTTCTGTTCTTGCATCTCCTTCTGCCCAGTTATACAGACACAGAGCAGTATGAAGAAGCAGTCAGAGATTACGAGAAAGTTTACCAGACAGAAAGCACAAAGGGTAAGTTGGGTTTATTTGGCTTCACACAAAAAACCCCACAAGACTCTTTTAACCCATTCACAACCTATGGCGGGATAATCCCATCATGAAGTCTGAAGGGGTTACACAGACAGAGTCTGTTCTGTTTTGTAGAGCTCAGCTGCCACCAGATCGCTTCTACGATTCGGTAGAGAGTCTTATAAGCCCCACTATGTGATAGCAATTAAAGTAAAGTTTTTAAAAAAAGTTTTAAAAATGAAATTAAAATGTAAACAAAAAAAAATTAAGTCCCCCGCCCCTGCGAGCGCGCACGTTGTCACGTAAACACGCGTCGGGTGAGCCTGCGTGCGAAAACGACGATTACGCTATACATGTTTGCTATCACCACGCACGCCGGAGTGAGAGCAATAATTCTAGGGGCAATATTTACCCATATCTCTAAACAGATAACCTGTAGTGGCTTTTAAAGCGTCATGTATGGACTTTTTGGGGTACTGAATTCTGTCGCAGTTTCACAGACGCGCACAATTTATAACCTGGGCATGTTGGGTATCTATTTCTAAACTGAAGAGAGAAGCTAATTGGTTACTATGGGCAACTGCTCCAGATTTTTTTCTGCACCAGTTTTGATAAATTCCCTCCTATGTATAGAGATTATTCATTCTGTGCAAATCAGTGTTCCTTACAAAGAAACAACATAATGTGGTCTGAACATACAATAAAAATGTTCATCTCCCTACATAGAGGTATAATATATAAAACCAAGAACAAACCATAGTATTCACCATTTCCACTAATTAAAAACTTTTATTAAACTTGATGCAACTCACATAAAATGTACACAAATTGTGCACTAGATGTTCCCAAATGTATATGTAATAATAGGCATTCAACAGGATGAGAAATGAAATGCCAGCACCAAGCTCCCTCTGCTATGCATCCAAAATCCACCCACCATCGTGTCATAAGACTCTCTCGTCCTGTTTGATACCTACTATTAAATATTCATTCAGGAACATCTAGTGCACGTTTGGTGCACATAATATGTGAGTTATTTACGCATAGCAGGGTGATAGCAGATTATAATCTAAGCACTCCTCATTTGGAGTTTGTGCTTATCAGCCCTTATTTATTAAAGAAAACAATCAAATTTGAAATGTCACTACATTTCAAGATACTGCTATTTGCAGAGAATTTATCTTACAAGCTGGCTTATCACTGTAAATTGGTTTCCATAGGAACAACTACACTAATGACATACTTTTGAGTAGTTGGTGTTGTGGGCACTGGTCCAGTCTTTGTCAAACACATACCCCAGTGTTTATTTGTATACTGTTATATCAAACGTGGGGAGGGAATGGCAGATGGCGGGTCACTGTACCAAGAAGAGCTCTCACTGGGTTTACCACAGTTGTCAGCAAACAATAGTGTATGGAGAAACAATAGAGCTGTTATAATTTCTCCGGACACTCTTTTCTGTCTAGAACACAAACATTTGCTTAAGAACGCACAGCTGGAGCTAAAGAAGAGCAAGAGGAAAGATTACTACAAGATACTAGGAGTGGACAAGAATGCATCTGAAGATGAAATAAAGAAAGCCTACAGGAAACGAGCGTTAATGCATCATCCAGGTAATGGACTCACCTCTCCGTGGTCTGCCCAAACTGGAGACCTTTACTAGACCATCTTAAAGTGCGTCCACAAACAGATTTATTCTCCATAATACTGTATTTACTATAACATTTGTACTAGTGCAGTATAAACATCCCATTTTGTATAGTCACTATGTTTTGAAATGAACAAAGCAAAAAAATGAATAAGTGAGCCATAATATTTAGTTTAGAGCAGCCTTTCTCAACCAGGGTGCCTTCTGGTTTCCCCAGGGATGCTTCAAAATGTTCACCAGCACCATAAAAATGAATCGTGCTAATCCAGGAAGGGTGGAATCTATTCAGAAATAGACAATAGTTTGCCTCCATCCAAGCCTGCTCCGCCTCATGCTGTCTGCCATGCTGCCACAGCTGCAGCACCTGATGTGATAGTATAACTCGAATGTGAAGAGGGGACAGAGGACTCTGATGTGAAATTGAGGACTTATGTGAAAAAGGGGGACTCTGATGTGAAGGGGTCTTCTGATATAGAAGGGGGGGGGCACTGACATGGAAGGTAGAATACTGATGTGAAATGGGGTGACTCTGGTGTGAATGGGCGCTCCTGATTGGAAGGTGAGGCTCTGATGTGAATGGGAACTCTGTTTTTTGTGGGGTCTTCATGTTTTTACATTTTAGACTAGGGTGCCTTGAGATTTTGCATACTTTTAAAGGTTGTCATGACTTAAAGGCTGAGAAATAATGATTTAGAGTATTTTTAAAAATATATTTTATTTATTCACATTTGCACGTATGGACCGTAGGGGGATTTGGGGTGGAATGTGGAGCAAAAGATTTCCCTTCTGGTGCCAAGGACCTCCAGAATGCAGAGTGAACACCTGTAAAACGCTATGTGAAAAAAAAAAAAACTGCTTAAAAAAAAAAAAAATGTGGCCTTCTTGCCTTACATGCTTTACTATTGGCCTCTAAATGTGATGGCAACATCACTTAATGGTAATGATGCCAGCGTTTTACTTTCTGCGCTCTAGGCAGTATTTGCTTAAAGTGTTCCAGATGTTGGTGGTTTACTGCATTTAAAGAGACTGTCACTTTGCCCACTCAGGGCAAATAATAAAACTCCATCACCCACTGTACTCACCTTCTCAGTGCTCCATTTTTGCTTCTTTGTCAGCCTGGAATCCTAACCCTGTGGAGCTCCATGTTGGAGGTGATTCAGGGTTAACTTTCTCCTCCTTGGCAGGTGACAGTGTTTTGGTCTGGTGATTGACAACCCAGGTTCACGCACTAAATCCTGGGAGAGTTCACTTGCTCCCTCATACCTGGTAGCACCAGGTATTTACCAAATACTCTGATGGAGCCACAGAGTGGCAGGAGAGTGCAGTTAAGCAGAGTATTAGGGGGTGAAGGAATTTCATACACAAAAACCTGTCATTTTGCCCAAAATAAGCAAAGTGACTGATTTCTGTTTAACGTAAACCCAGGTACACATATATGTCAAACACATGCATTTACTGTGGCGTTTTTGTACTTTTAGACCGACACAGTGGTGCCACCACTGAAGTTCAGAAAGAAGAGGAAAAGAAGTTCAAAGAAGTGGGTGAGGCCTTTACAGTCTTGTCGGATGCTAAAAAGAAGGCCCGCTATGACAGTGGGCAGGACCTGGATGAAGACGGAATGAACATGGGTGGTAAGTGCCTGCCAGGCTTTGTGACTATATTTGTGGGGGTTTTCCACAAGTTGAAATCTCCTTTACTAGGAATTTATCCCTCTCGTTGCCACAACTGCTAGCAGCTGGGCACGTCAGTGTGCCATATGTCAGTGGCTTTTACCCTTCTGCTATAAGCTAATAGTCGCTTTAGCGACCATGAGCTTACAGCAGAAGGGTTCCCGTGACAGTCTCCTGTAAATTATTAGCTGTCATCAGCAGCTGAAAAGCAGGAATTTGACAGCTTCTCCCCTGTCTGTATAAGCTGAGGCAGCGGGGATCCGAGGAGAAATGGACCGCTGCAGTCGGTGGGGGTGGCACCATAGGAGGAAGCTGTCATCCAGAATGGCCGAGCGGGAGGATAGAGGAGCTGGCAGCTCGAGTGGGCAGGAGAAAGAAGAAGCCACTGTCATCCTGTCAGTTTCTCAGCTGATGATTGGTTAATATGTGTGATATTTAGCGATCCTCTGAGTGCAGAACAAACACTGATCACTCCAATGTTTGTAAACAACTGGGGGGACACAGTACTATGTGTCCCCAGTTATGAATGAACAGGAAGTGCTTTACATCACTTCCTGTTCATTCATGAGTTTCATATGGGGAGAAGCACTCAGTACAGAGGCTTCTACTGATTCATAACTGGTTGATAGTAAATATTTACTATCTCCAGTCTGTGAATGAATAGGAAGCCTCTGTACTGAGTGCTTTCCATTCATTTGGTGCTGAGGCTGCAGAAAAAGAGATTAAGGAAATGTGTCCATTTCTTTTTTTTATTATTTCAAAAGGGAAATGTCAGGTGTCTATATACCCCTGATATTTTACCAAAGCCCCCCAACAGTAAAAAAAAAGAAAATAATATTTTTTAAAAACATGACCACACTCAACATGTGCACCATATTGTGGTATACGCCATGCGCTGCGCTGCGTTTAGAATGCATTTCTGCTTGATTTTTTTTAATTAAAATAACATTCATTTAACTGTGTGGTATCACATGGCAAAGCGTTGTGAAGCATTGCCTTGCGTTGTGATAAGCTGTGTTGAGATTAAATGTACGCCTATATCATTTTATCACCGGTAGTTGCAGCCAGGCTAGAATGATTCTTGTGACTTGTTCTGCACATTGTGGGCCTTTATGTGCCTACAGAGCACCCATGGTGACCAGAGAAATTGGGAAAAGCGAGCGGCTTAAGGTCATAGCAAAGTGAAAAACTGTAGAAAGAGGATAGATAGGCAATTAATGAACATAAATTGACAATTGCACAAATATGGGAAATGCCAAAACCTCAGTGGGCAGTAGAGGCTCTTGTTTATGCTAGTTGAATCTAAGGAAGGAAGTGATGCACAGCAATGTGTGGGGTTTAATTAATAGTTTTAATACTTCTCAATAGTATAGGTAGAAGCTGGCTATTTTCAGAGAACACATTTTCTCAAATATACCAGCTACCTAGAAACTGGTATGGTAGGGAAATATGTGATGGGAAGAAGCTTTCATTACACTTTTTATATGGCTATTCAGTGGATTTTATTGGCTCTGGGCTTACATCCCAGCATCCAGAGAGACCAATATCAAACCAAGGTTTTCCAAATACTGGAACTATTTTATGTAGATAGTCTTTACTACAGAGGTGTTCTATCCATTAATATTCTTAATTTATTTCAGATTTTGATGCCAACAATATCTTCAAGGCATTCTTTAGTGGTCCAGGAGGCTTCAGCTTTGAAGGTGAGTTTCAGGAACCGAATGTATGAGAAATAAAGAAATGTAATTGCTCTTCTGTTTTCTTCTTAATTCCCTCCTATTTATTAACCTTGGCTGCACACTTTCTTCTTACGTTCATGGTTCAGTACGTTACTTATTCATTTTCATGGATGTTGCATCAACCCTTTCTTGCCTAAAGTTGGGGGTTGGCAACTGGTCGCTAACGATCTATCAGTCAATAATGGCCATCTGACAGGTAGATCAGAGCAGCAATGCAAAGCCAAGGGAAGTCCTAGGCCAGGGGTGGGGCTTGACAATGGGATTTAGAGAACTGATGCAAGTCAGTGAGCAGTGCAAGGCAAAGCTCTGCCCAGCCAGTGCTGCCAAACCACTAAGTGCAGCTGTGGTAAAGCGGCGACAGGAGGGTCTGGTGGGGAGACGTGCTGCAAAGCAGGTCCCTATGGGCTGTATGTGGGTGAAAGAAGTAGGGGGTTGGATGAAGGAGGTGGGGCAGCAGGCTGTACAAGGATGCCGGCTGTAAAGACAGGCCCTCGGTGCCTGGCTAGCAGTGTTATGAGAGGGTTTGGCCTTTTATCTACAGCCTGCAATGCAGATACCTCCTGTGTACCAGCATCAGCATTTTTATCTTAGGAGGTTTGGACACTGGCAAATATAAACCCACCTTCAACCGTCCTACTTCAGTTTTTGCTAATATCCCAGGAGGTTGGGTATGTTTTCCTCAAATCTGCTGAGGAAAAATTCTGTCTATATTTTTTAAATGTTTTTCTCTTCTTTTAACAGAATGTTAAAATTTGTACGTTTTAACATTCAAGAATTGGTACGTTGTGGACTGTTTTTCTCTTCAATCAAGACTTTAAATAAACTGCTTGAGCTGGTCTTTACAGAGCAGTTATCCAGATCAACTAATCCTTGTTTCTGCCTTAGAGGCCGTACCCAGACCTCACTGGACTGAAGATTGCAGGACCTGCCTTGCATGTGACCTTCAAGTACTGGGCTCTGCCAGTGGTGCTTTCCCAACCTTAGTGTACTGTGTCAGTTACCCACAGAGCCCTTTCAGAGCATTGGTACAGCTTCTGGTGTAACCTAGTCTCTGATGGCTCACTGTGAAAGTTTGCCTTTAAAAGTTGCAGTTGAGAATCTAGCTCTGCATTATGGCACCTTCCAGACCTGTGTGTACTCTCAGACACAGAGCAGTGGTAAGCCTCTGGTTAAACCTTTATAAAAATGTTACACTTGTGTGTAAAATTTACCAAATAGCTTACCCAAAACCTGAGCGGTGTCACAAATTCTGGTGACCAGTCTCTTAATTCTGTTTTCGGAGTGAATCTCTGTAATATGATGTAATCTGTCCTTCCAACACTGGGATCTACATTGTGGCACTTTGTGGATTAGCTGCAAACTGCCCTCCATTATTCTGAGTCATGGTGTGACCCAATCTCTTTATAACGTTTTCCTTGTAATTAAAGCAGACTTTCACTCACATGATAGACTTTTCCTCACTGGATTCCTACCTTCTCCACAATGGTGAAAAGCCAACTTGTTTTCTTTGCGTTTACTTTTTTTTTTATTCCAGCACGCACCCCTGCCTCGATTCTCCCTTGGGAAAGAATGACATATCTCAGCTCTAGGAGCCTCCTGAGATATGCACAGTACATATCCTAGAAGGCTTTTGAGCTTTTACACTACCCTGTAGGAAAAACAACATGGCGGTGGAGAAAAGTGCACGTGGTGCATGTCATCATGGGGCCAGCTGTCTGAACTCGGAGGAGACAACAGGCTCTTGATGATATCAGAAAGGAAGACAGCAGCACATTACTCAGCAGGAGAAATGGATCACAGCAGGACAACGCTACATTTGCTAGGGGTATGAGGTTGTGTTTGGCTAGGTACAGTGTCGCATGTGCATGCCCTTCATCTCAGAAGGATGCATTTCCCGCAGCTAACTCTATTGAAGTGTGATGTTGATATCCTGTTCTTTCTGCTGCTTGCCTTTTAGTATCCTGGTCACTTCCAACTGCCTATGATACTCGTCATCTCCTGGTTTCCGGATTCATGAATACAGGTGGCCTTGCCTCATTTGGGTCAGTTGCTTACCACTAACCGGTGCAACATGTCTTTAGAGATACATTTACAGGGCAGTCCTACTACAGTGGGTCAACTCGTTCCATGATACCCTTCTTTTCTGGAGAACAATTCGCCAATACCCTTAGAAGGATCTGATGCCTGTACTATGGCTCCTGGAACCCCTATTTCTATAGGATCATCCTCATGTATGGTAGAACATAGTTCTGACCCTACTGGGTGGTCCTCTACCAGAGAACCTGTTAGCCCTATCATCTTTGGCTCTGATTCAGAGCCTTTACAGTCCACTTCTATGAATACTGTATTCAGTGTTCTGATGACTGATACACAATTGTTTCCAATTTATTTGATGCAGTGTGCTCTGTTATGCAGCTACAGGATTAACCCGTTGTTACATAGTAAGGTTGAAAGAAATACTCAAGTCTACCGAGTTCAACCTACTGCTAACACAAAAGACTTTTCCCTCTGCTCTGGGTCTCTTTTAAGGACTGGGAACTTCCTTTAAAATCACGGATTCCTCTGAATAATGCGCAGAGACATTATCTTTTTCATAAGGACTTTCTTGACAAATTTTTCCTACTTTGTGGACTTTTTGGTTCTTCCCCTTATTAGGCATCTCATTACTGTAGTTGATGGCTCCTTTACGTTTAGTGACTTCCCTGATGACCGTTAGACCTCTTAATCAAATCCCAGGTTGAATCAACTGGAACAACTTTCTGTCCTCTTTTTGACGGCAACTGTAATTCATGTCTCAATGGGTCACATAACTCAAAAGGGATTTCTCTGACTCAGCTTAATTTTTAATCCTTGCAGCTTGTCGATCAGTTGTTTTAAGCTCTCAGCTTTAGTTATGGACTTTTACAGGCATCTAAGTTGGTGACTCACGTGGCAGTAGTGTCTGTCTCTTGTCTACTGTTTAAGTTATTCGTCACCTTTATCAGGGGATTTTTTTTTTGTACTTTGTTGAAGCTCTTGGACTTCTATTCTTTGTTTGAATGCTCAGGGTTCATCCTGCAGCTTCTGTACTACTTCCTGCAACCAGGTACCTGGTTCTATAATTTCTTTCCTATTACTTGGAAGCTCTCCCTTTTGTGGAATGCTTACAGTATTCCCACAAGAAACTATCATCATTCTAGATATTAACCTTTTATCTCTTTTGAATATTATATCCTCTATAGTCTGAGTATTAGAGATATTCTCCAATTTTCTCCTTGAGAGACTGGAATTAATGGGAACTCCATCCTTGAGTTTACTAGCCTCACTAGCCTTGGGTCTTAAAGTGACACTAAACTCAGGAGTTAAACCTTAAAATGCATTCATGTACGCTAACTATTAACAAAAATGTACTTTATTTGTATATCACTGTAGATCCTCAAATCTTCTGTGAATTGGTGCTGACACTGTCCTTCCTTCTTGAGGGTGGCTACTTTTGTTCCCTATGTGTGTTGTAAAGTAGCCACCACTCCAAGCTTGCTCCTGTGATGGACTACAATCTCAATACAAATTAGTAAACTAAACGTGAGATTGTAGTCCATCACAGAACAACACGCACAGGGACCATGGGGAACAAAAGTAGCCAATAGTTAAGGTACTTGAATGGATTTTTAAGATTTAACTCCTGTGTTTAGTGTCCCTTTAATATGAATGTACTGTATGTGTGCTATGCTGATAAGTGTAAATTATATACAAATTAATCCAAATGGTTTGTGTACAAGAAAAAAAAAGTGTATAAATGTGTATCCCGTATCCCAAGCAACAATGTGTGATCTTAACAGTGTATCATATAATGCGAATCGAAGATATACCGAATTAAGCAATACATGCATACGTGTCTTTAAGAGTTCATACATGTGAGACGACAAAAAAAAGGTCTTTTTCTTTATATCACCTGCTGATATAACTGTAAATATCCTTCGCCGCCACAGTTTCCACCATGCAAACACCCTATAGAGTGCAGCTCACATTTAACCATTTCACTGCCAGAGTGTTTTTGTTTTTATTTGCACACATTATAATCCTCATTTTAGGCCTAAAAATTTCTTAAAACCCCAGAGAGTTATATATTTCCTAAAAGCAAAGACCTTGTAGAATAAAATGTTGGCAGTTGCAAATTTTTACATTGCATGAGATTAGCGCAACTCTTTATCAAACCCAAAATTTCAGTAAACAATAAACTTGAGTCAACAGAATACCCATTTTTTGGTAAAATATGAAAGAGGTTTTGCTGAGTACATAGATACCCAACATGCCAAGAATACAAATTGCGTGTGCCCGGGAAACAGCGACAAAATACCTGAAATTGTTTATAGGCAACACTTTAAATGCCTGTACAGGCCCACAGTTTAGAGTTAACTGTGTATATTGGCCCTACATGTGTAGCGCAATCATCTTTTTCGTACATAGGCATACCTGATGCGTGTTTGCATTAGTATGTTCGGGGGGGGCTTAAAATTACACAGGTAAAAAGAGTCACAGCGGGAGTCTGGTTACAGGGGCCTGCAGCCGACTACGAAAGGGATACAGTGCTGGCAGTGAAAGGGTTAAAACAGACCTTCACAATTGGTCTGATAGTGCTGATCCCTTTTATGGCTGGGCGGGAATAAACCCACATTTAGATCCGCTTCCTTGAAATCTCCGTCTGATCCACATCGGCATACAATGTATAATCCTGTGTTGTACCAGCCCAGAATGAGAGAAAACGCAGATTCACTGTATAAAAAACTTACATAAAATCTTGTCACTGTATAGCCCAATTGCACAATTCTGCTGTGGTGCGTGCAGGGAAATTATTTTCTATGACATTTCCATAACACTCTGGATAACTTGACTAAATATATGTCATCTGTTTTGTTGTGTCATGGCCTTGGTCTTAAGTGAGCTGTTGCAGAACAAAGCCCGTACTCCCTATTACATATCTCATTAGGTAGGTAGGGTCATGTCTCAGGTCAAGGACTCATTAATGATGGTTTCCTGAGAAGAGAACAGTAAAGGACATTATAAGAATTAAGCATAGCAGAAACAGCTGAGTTTTCCAAGCTTGTATTATACGTCATTTTACATCATATGCAGATTGGAATAGAACTAGTGAAACCTGTCTTTACTATATGGGCATATCTTTTTGGGCAAAACAAAGCTGCATACATGAAATGTATTTGTTTGAAAAGCTCTCCTGTTTGACAGTTAATTGGCCGGCATTGTCAGTGGTGTGAGGGATGAGCATTTGGCATACAATAATACTGTACAACGATGTAATGCGCAGCTGTTTCAGTTCAGAGATTCCCTTCTCTTGTCACCATTATATGGACAATGCACATGTTGTGCTCTCCCTGCATTGCTGCTCTTGTCTATGAAAGGAGCTTCATACAGGGACAGCTGGTGACAAGCAGAGCAGTTTAAGATTCATTACTGTGCTCCATACACTGTACCAAGACTGCCTTATGCAAGAGGATTCTATTTCTATTATGAATAGTTTGTGTATGGTGTGACTTCTCAGAGCTGCAGAAGTAGCTTTCTAGAATAAAGAGAACATTTAAAGTGCAAATGTAAACTTTTACAACGAGCTTCTTTTACTTGTTCCCTATTGGTCTGTTAAATATACCATTTTTAAAAGGGTTTGTTTTATCTAGAAGTGCAAAAAAAATACTAGGGCTGCAACAACTAATCAATAAAATTAATGATAATCCCCCCTGTGCCTGAATTTCTCCCTGTGCCTCCAATACTTCTCTGCCAGCACACCCCACTGTGCCTCTCTGTTATTCAAAATTTTGTGGTAGTGGGACTGTGATGTGAAGATGGGAACGAAGACTCAGGTGAACAGGGCTGCTGATGTAAAGGGGGAAGTCTTGATTTGATGGGGGCACTTTGCTGTGAAGGGGAAACTCAAATTTTTGTGTGTTTTTGACTGGAGTGCCTCAAGATTTTGCATACTTTTAAAGGGTGCCATGACTGAAAAAAGGTTGTGAAATATAGTTCTATACTACATTCTTTGGAATACCACACAGTCCAAATTCTGCCATGGACGCGTTGGGCATTACATCTAAGCAGTGATACTATAGTTGTTTGGACCTAGCCAGCAGTGTTACTGAAGCGAGCAATATTGACCATACTAAATAATCTTTTAGTTATGGTCTGCATGTAAAGGTGAGCGCCAGTCCTTTAGGGAGTGTCTGGAGCACTGAGGGGAGAGGAAATGTCACAGAATTTGCGGTAATGTGTTTTGTTTTCTGGGTGAAGCACAAGTGAAGTGATAGAATTGCACTAATTTTGTATTCACTGGGCTTATACTTATATTGAGAACAGTATCTGTCTGTTTTTTCTGGATGAAGCACAAAGTAGAAGAATTGCACAATTGTATGTTTTGGAGTGCCACACTCTATACGCTATGAAGTACATTACACAGAGTTTGGAACGCCGCATATCATATGCTGTGCTTTTCTTCACATACCCTTGACTGCCGCACTCTGTCTGCTGTTGTATACTTTGAGTTCTATACCATACCACTCCACTTTGTACATTGTACATAATATGCTCTATAATGCTAATCATCATACAGTTGTCAAAAATTTGAACTTTGGAGCTGGACCTCTTTCAATGAATGGGCAGTTTTGCTATTACCTGTAAAGGCAACATGATTTTTCCACTAATCAAATATACTAACAGACGCAAAGCCTTCTACAACTAAAATTAAAGTGTTCTACATTTTTTATATGAATCAATATTTGCTTTGCTCTGGTTGGTAACCATATTTGTTCAGGTCTTAGTCATCAGGTTGATTCTCCTTGTCCTCCCTCTGGTCATGTTGGCAGGTTCCCCTACCTTCCAGTCTCAGATTCAGGCAGTGGTCCTTCAGGCAGTCCCCAAGTCTATTTTTTATTTTTAATTATTCTTGAACCTTTTAGTGGTTGTTGCTGTTTGCCCACCCATACGTCGGGCTGCTTTTTGGATGTCTCCACAGTATATGACTTCCTGTGTCAAAGATAGAAAATGGAATTTCTCTTTAATTCATTAAGTAATACAGGGTCAGAAGTAAATCATAGACAGTTGGCTTATACTGCTGCCTTCAGGAGAAATTTGACACAGGCAAACTAAAAAGACATTGGCTGGCTAGGTATAACCCCATCCACTCCCATGATGCTTCAGGTTTTATTGCTAGTGTCCTTGGAGATGGACACCTTTTAAAGCATCCCCATTTTTATTAGACTTTTTTTTATTTTTCCGTGAGACTTTGCTTCAATTGAAACTTCATCGTTCCTACACACAGTAAAATCCTTTTCCTAGAGTCCATTGAGGGACACAGGTTCCACCTCTCCCTATGATCATGCTCCTAGGAATGCTTTCTAAAGTGAGTGCCTGCTAGAGGAGGGGTTATCCTGAGCTGGCCTACAGATTTTTTTGTTTGCCAGTTACCATTCCTGGGTAAGGCAGTACGACTTGACTGTATTTGATTTCCTTTGTCCTTCAGTGTTGTTCAAAAACAAGGATTTTACGGTCAGTACAACATTTTTCTTTCCATTAGCACATCTGTAAGCAGTGTCCTCAGCAGAATAACTTTGTACTTTCTAGGAATGCACTGACACTAAGATTTCAAGGTTGACCCCGTCTTTTATATTTTACCAAAAAACTGGTTAATAATAAATGTTTCCTAACATGATGTTAAAAAAAACTGTTTTTTTTTCAAAATTTTCTGTCATTTTTCCTAATTATAATAAAAAATAAAACCCCCAGTGGTGATTAAATACCCCCAAAATAAAGCTCTATGTGTCCCCAAAAAATGGTATAAAATTCATTTCAGTACAGCGTTGCATGACGGAATAAACGTCAAAGTACCGCAGCGCTGAATACTGAAAAATGGTCTGGCCAGGAAGGGGGTCTAAACACCTGGTCTTCAAGCGGTTAAAGTACTGTTTTCTAAATGTAACCATGTTGATAAAAAGTCCACCTACTGCTGATTCCTCATAGCATAAAACATACAATACTGATTGGGACCGTAATATACAGAGGTACAGGTACTCCTAGAATGAGATCCTAATAAGTTGGACTTGATGGACTAATGTCTTTATTCAACCTCAAATACTATGTAACTATGATTGCTCAGCACAAGGATAAAAAAAGAAAAAAAAAGCCAAGTGCTACTGAGCACTAGGGCCGGAAAGCAGGTGGCTGAACTTGTTTTATCTAAAATGTGACAATTACAGGGCTATTCACTAAAGGGTTAGGAGTTTGGAGAAGGCAGGAGAAGTGAACAATCTAGGAAAACATAGCTGAACTGGAAAGTGAGCTAAATTGGAGAATTTTTCCAAATCAATTATGTTGTCCTAGATTTTTCACTTCTCTGCCTTCTCCACTCTTCACCCTTTTGTGAATAACCCTGTATGTGTTTTTTGGTAAGGTATTGCTAAGCTAGATGAGTTGGACCTCACTTAGAACTGAAAAATGGACAACACTTTTAAGTACCTAATCTGTGTGTTTTGATTAATAGTTTGTCAGGATATTTACTATTGTGTATTTATCTTTTTCAGCTTCTGGTCCAGGAAACTTCTTCTTCCAGTTTGGGTAACAGACACACGCACACCTGTTCCTCTCCAACCTCCGACCTGCCTCCCCTTCCTTTCCCTCATATTCCTCCTCTGTTCAAGTGTTTTAACCCAGAAAAAGGACTTTATTTAATCAGACTTCTCCACAAGCATCATTATGTCTCTCTGTTTATTAGAGAAGTGTTTTTTTTTTGTTTTTTTTTAATGTTATTTTGAATCCATCTCAGAAATAAATACCTCTCCTCCGTGTGCTCATGTGAAGAAAATTTTGAATGCGGCATGAAGTTTCAAATAAAATGTAAAACCTGACTAGAAATTGGGTTGGCATTTTGTCGCAGCCAGGTAAAATCTGCACCATACTTTTCGATGTCTGGGGTGGGATTGGGAGTATAAATCATTCTGCCTAAAATAACTGCATAATAATTCTCCTGTGATGCTTTGAGTCCTCTGGAATTTTCCATAAGGCAGATTTTCTGTTATCACGCTTGGGAAATGTGTATGCATGGACACAGGTAACTGTAACCCACAAGTCTGTGGATTAACCTGGAACTTGTACATATCTTTTTGCTCCTTCTATACTTAGACTGCTGAGTGGAGCAGATCACTGAAAATAGACTTCCATTATGACCATCAAGATAAGTGGATTAATTTCTATGCCTTTGGTCTGCATACACTTCATGTTCACCAATCCCATTCACCGACCTATTGCAACCTTCTGGTGTCTAAAGGCGATTGCTGGTGAAGTCTGGAATTTCAGCATGAACATTCGAGTTATATGATGATCTGTATATCTAAATGGTTAGTTGTCTGTCCATCAGGAAAAACAGGGTTCCATTGCTGCTTTCAAGAAGGCTTTAAAAGGGGGAATCCAAGCAATGTAGACAGTCCAGATTGATTACAGTCGCCAATGTAATATACTAGTAGTAGCATTTCTTAACTTAAACCACCACTGCTTTTATTGTACATGAAACAAGGAAACTGTTCATTCCTTCCAAAGTGTTTACTGCCACCAACTCCTAAAGTAAAGTGCATCTAATAACCTTATAACTAAGGTATATCTATGGTGAGAGGTTTGAATTAGGCAGGAATAGAGGGATATTTATCCAATCAGGACACCTGTTCCAGTGACAACTAATCCCTTTCTCTGGAGAGATTTCCTTTTTCCATTTGTAACTACAGAAGTGAAGGAAAATCTTGACACAGCCCAAAAAAAGACTGGTTTAACTACTCCAGACTATCGAAAAATGAAATTATAATGCATGGGTATTTGCCCCCCGGAATACCCCCCTACCTCTGTATCCATTTCACAAAATGTATTTTTTACTGCCCACATACCCGGTTATCTCAGCAGTGTGCTGACACTGCCACAATCAGTTGTGAGACAGGCCAGGGGGGTCCTACTGCCAGAGTACGCCACTGGCGGCCATCTTGGTACCTCAGGCTGCCCTATTAATGCATGGAGGCTTGTACAGCTTTAAACCTTTTGGTGCTGGTATTGTGACCACCCATTGTGGTCCCTCAACATCGCAGACTTCAAACACAAATGGACAGAGGCATTCTTTGGGTGTCCATGTATTGGAATATTTGGATGACCTTCTTCTTAAGGCCCAGATCCAAACAGGTTCTGAGATCGGACATCCACAAGACAATTCAAACACTACAGTGTTTTAGCTTGGTGCTCAACCTACTCAAGACATCTGTGCTGATCCCCACTAACTGCCTGGAATACCTTGGTGTTCCCTTGGATACAAACCAGGCCAGGGTGTTTCTCCCTCCAGAGAAAATCGGTAAAGATTACGACTAAGCACGTCATGGTTAGTCGTAACCTTAGTGCTTCTTGGTCTTTTCATCATAGAACAGATTTGCAGGCCACCACTGGTCTTCTGTTCAATCGTGCACTACGTTCTACCAGGTGGATGTTTTGGGTATCTGCTGATGCTAGTTTTTGCCATTATATGCTACAGACTATTATCTAAAGTTGGGATTTCCCCCTTGTTTCTGTTATATGGGCCTGTTGGCAGTTGTTTTGCTGTGTTGCCCATCCCTCTGGTTTTTTTTTTTTTTTGCCTAAGGTCATCCCAGTTGTCTATGAATCTACCTGTGTCCTGTACTGTACTTGCCAATAAAATCTGTTTCTTGGGTACAGGACACAAGACCCTCTCCCCTATGTCCTCTATTGGTAACTAAAAAACTGAGGATTTTCTGCAGTGGGAGGGTCTTTGAGGGTCCTTACAGCTTTGGCCAATGTCCAATCAGCTGTTGATACTTGCATATTATCCAGTCGTTTCTGAATCTGCCTGTGTCCTGTACTCCAAGAAATGGATTTTACTGGTAAGTCAAAATGCCTAATATTGGATTTTAAAATCGTCCACATTCTAGAACTGCCCTGAGATGATCACAGGTGAACACAAAATTATTTGGGGTCAAATTCCCAAAGCTTCAATTCCCAAAGTTAACATACCAGCATAAAGATATGACAGTTCTTTTAGGTTAGAGCCAATAGAAAGCTTTGTGAATGAAACCTATTATATATCATTGACTGACTCGTGCTTTTACTTTGATTCTTGGTTTATCCACCCCACCAAAAGGTTTTGTATTTACTACAGAAACTATGCGCCATTGAATTGATATGAGTGTATGATCATAAGTAGCTGGATAGTGGACTATACCTGCAAACACTTGAATTACATCTAGCAAGGCAAACACATGTGAGCTTTATAAAGTAATGAGGACATTCTGATCCGTCAAATGGCCTGCATTTCAGGTGCTGGTGGCAGAGAGCCCTTTGGAAGGAAGTCACTGTTATATTGTGTCGTATACTGTGAAAGGAGGAACCCTCTCTATTGGTACATGGAGTAAATGGTGTTTCGTGCTGTAACCCAAAACGACCAGAAGCATTTCAATGTTTTCCAACATAATCAGACTGACGAAATATGTTTTCCGATTGGGTGTGAAGGGTTATTATTACATTTGCACATCCCTGCAAATGATTTTGAAGTGGTGGCAAAATGATAAAACTCAACTGGAATCTCTTTTTATCTGGGTTAGAGTTTGTGTTTGTACATAATAGCTGTAATTACATTGGCTGCAAAAAAAGTAAAGCAACACACGTATTTGTACATTAACATTCTGTCTGTTGGAGAGTTTTAGTAGTTAAATGTCAAAACTGGCCGTTGGATTACAGCTTCAGGTAAATGCTGCTAAAGGGCCACTAAACCTAAAACTTAAGTTGCTATAAAGTCTAAAATGCATAACTGTACATGGAAAAAAAAGCTCAAATTCCTAAATTGATCATAAAACATTTTAAAAGTTACTCACTTTTCTGTGCAACTAATTATGTATGATCAGGCAGTTCAAGATTGGTGAGGCTAGGTGACGTCCTACCTGTGGGCTCACTCAACAGCATGCGTCCTATGTGTAGTAAAAGATCCCTCCATGACATACATGCAGCATTCTCGCAGACTCCGTTTTCATAAGTTAATGAAGTGTTGACACATATCTGTAAATGATACTGCTATCTTTTATATAACCCAATATTTGTTTTTAGGTTTAATGGTCCTTTATTGCTTATCATAGAGCATCTTATGTCTGTCCATTAAAAGCATCTGAAGTGAAAAGTAGCCTTTGTAAATATGAAGTATTTCAATAAACCAATTTAAAACATAGCGCCGCTTTGTGAATGTGGTTTTGATCAGTGTGTGATATGCAGTTCTCCAGAGCAATTCAGTAAAAACAAAAAGTGTAAGTAGCCAAAGAATTAGACATTTTGTGGGATGAACCATTTTCTGCCCACAGTGGACCTGCTCGTAAATTCTGAAAACGGCTATTACCAAAAAGGTTTTCATTTAATAAAACAAGAGCTAATGTTCCAAAGAATGCAGCTAATGTTGTCACTTAATGGAACAACTGCTAATGCTGTTGGATAGAAACAGACTTAATAGTTACTTTTTAACCCCTTGTGTGCTTATTAACTCAATTTTTTCTAACCTTACATTTTCCAGTGTATTGCCACTAAGATCATCGTGTAAAACTGAAATGCCAATATAGCTGAAACCATCATGCCATAACTTGGCGATGATACCATTTATCTCTAGACGAGCATCTAAAACAAAGCTGGAATATATGTATATGAAGATTTGCAGTTCTGTCCAGTCTGATCCAGGCACACTTGCCTAGACAGTCTTATTAGGTTGGTAAGAGCGAAAGAGGAATTGCTGACCTCTCTTAAAATCGTATTTGCCTAGCTGTCATACTGGTCCTCTTAATGCCAAACTTCTTTACTGACTTGGAACAAGCATGGAGATAATGATGTCTGTGTTGCCCTGGCACTTCTGAAGCTTATTGTCTGACACTTCTGCCAATGCTTGAAGTTTTTGTTTTCACAAAGCATTAAAGGCAGAAGCAAGACAAATGGCATTTTAAGAAGGTCAGCAGTGACCCTCCCCATATTATCCCATGACAGATTTATTTTAATCAATATAGCTTGGTCAATGACCCAGCCTGAGCCTACTAAGTTAATCATGCAGAAGATTCATCATATTGCTCTTCTCTGAATTTACACAGAGGGGTCTATTATTGAGTTATTATAGAAAAGTGTTACACCTGGAAGAAAGTTTATGTAAATGTTTGCTTAGGGCACTTTTATCCAAACTCTGTTCCGGTAAAAGTTGACTGAAGAGTGCCTTCCAGGTCAAGAACTGTGATGGGTGCCTCAGCAGTTACCCATGTCTCTATATTTAGTAAACATTTGTGGGGGATACAGCACCAAACGCATTAGATATGTGAATTGGTGTATATCACTGTAGCTTCAGTTGCTTTCTTTTCTAAAAAAAAACCTCTCCCTCACTGTACCCCACACAGCTTTCAGATATTACACTACATATTGCAACAAGCATTGTGGGATCATGGTAATCGGAGATCTGTGAATGGTGGAGGGGGCTAAGAAAGGGGTGATGGGGGCAGCAGCAGCACAACTTTTCACAGAAGGTAAGCTGGCCATACACTGCTTAGATTTTGTAAAAGATCTTTTGTACAAAAGAATGCACATTCGACTTTCTATTAGTTAATTGGGTCAATTTGATAATTGATTTCGACCGGAGTGAGGAAAAAAAGAAAACTAAGAGGCAGGATGGAAAATTCTAAAAGTGAATGTGGTTTTTTATTCAGGAAACTCCATGAATTCCAAAATCAAATGTTAAAATCAAATGAAGTTTCCGTCAACATTCATTGTGTCTGATGGCATTATTGGATGGTAAAGAAAGAGCTTTTATTTATTCAGAAAGATGGCCAGCAGTACTCAGACTTCTCTCCTTGCAG